TGTGAGCAGAGCGGTTGTTGCCAAGCTTATCCCTGCTCAGATTCTTGACAACCCCACGTGTGCAGACCACGCAGCAAGAATTCACCCGCACAGTGACACAACCGCTGCAAGTTTGGCTCGCGTTGCGCACCAACGAATCTTGAAGCCTTCATGCGCCCAGAGGGCATAGATGAAACGAGCGGCATTGAGGGCCGCGTTCAAGAATTGCCCATGACTGCTTGCGTCCAAAGTGTCAAGCCTCAAGAGCAGGCGTTTCTGGCAGTGTCCTTGGAAGACTTGGCTTTGCAAACCTTCTGCGCTTGCTCTTCGAGTCTCGCCTTTGGCGTGCTTGCCCACTCTGGTGGGTTTACAAGCGCACAGCTTCGGGGGGCTACAGCGTGCACGGAACAGCTTTGCAGGCCTCAACGTATGCGTCTGTCCCAGCTGCTGACCGCGGCAGAAGCCGATGGAGTCAGCAACCGGCTGAATCCGCACGCGCTGGGCCTTCAGATCTTGCCTTTGACATGCTGGTGGGCTTTTCGCACGTGCCGCTTCGGGGGCGACTTGGGCTTGGTGCGCAGCTAGAGCCTCGCTGAAGCTTCAACGAGTGGAATTGGGCGCCGGCATCCTGAATGGTGAAGCCTCAGCAGCCCTTTCTCGCAGAGTCTTTGGAGGACGTGTGAGGTTAGACGCGAAAAACCCTTGCTTTGGCGTGCCGAGGGACAAGCATAGCTTGAGGGCTCTGCTAGGCACGCCGCCCAACCAGTCTGCCGTGAGGATTTGGAGTTGTTGACACGGTGCCCAACCATGTGAAGAGGACTTGGGATGCATGCTGAAACTGTTGCGTTGCTCGCCTCCCCCATTGCGAGTTGGCCTCCGTGTCAGCGAGTGTGAAGTCAGCTCTGGCGAGGTGTTTGCGTTCGTTTGCCCCTGCTCGTCCGTGTGCCATGCCAGTTTTGCCGAAGCAAACTGTCAGGCTTGCAGCGCGCGTGGCTTAAGGTATCTTCGGAAATGGTTGCTTCGTGGGACTTTGGCTGTGAAGACCTTGCCCGGGTGTGTCGCATGCTTTGCAGCATGTTTAGCTGACACGCCTTGTTGTGGGTCCCTGCCACAGCTGTCTGAAACCGGCTGTCAAGCCTGGGACGAGTGCTATTTGTAGCCTGGAGCCAGATATGCCAGATTGGGTGCTCGTCCCAGCGCTCGTGTGTGCAGATGCATTTTTGTTGCCCAAGCAACCTGCAAAGAAGACTTCGAGTTGTTTCGGTCCGTTGCTGCAAGCAGTGCTGCGTAGATGACGCATGGCTTTCTGAGCTTGAGCGATGCCACTTTGGCTTCGATGGTGGTGGGGATGCGCCGGCTGGCTGAGGCTGGATGCGAAGACCTTGCCTTGGCCGCGAAATCGCGCTTGCATTTTGGATGCAAACCTTTTACTAGATGACCTTTGGAGATGCCACTTGACCATCATCTCTCCAGTGCGGTCCTTGCTGGCACAACCCCTCAGCATACCTATTCGCCTGCTGGCCGTACTCACGCTTCCTGATGCGCTTGCTGCAGGCGTGGGTAGCCAGGTCAGTTCTCGGACGGTGTGGGGCTTGGGGACTGTTGCAGTGCTTGGAGGCGAAAGGGCGGAAGTTCTTCTGACTTTCTGCGTTGCAGCTTGTCGCTACGACAGCTTTCCAAGTCTCTGAGGTGCCGCACTGCTTTGCCAGCCGGAAGGATTCCAATGCATGGCTGTGGAGGCGTAGCTGACCTGCCTTTGTGAGCGCGGGCCTTGGTGCTTCCGGGGCTGCAAGTGCCACATGGCGCTGCCGTGGTGAGATCCACTCACTCTCCGTGCCTGGCAACTCAGCTTCCTTGCAGCAAAGCGCTACAGCACTGTGCGCAGTTTCCTATGAGCGTGTTTCTTATGATGATTCTTCGAGGCTCTGGGTGGAGGTGCCTGACGCAGCTTGCCCTGCAACCAAAACCTTCTTCCATCATATTTTGAGTGGCTCCCAGCTCCAACAGTTGCCCTTGAAACGCCTGCCTCCAATTGGACTGCAGTCCGGCAGGCCTGTTTGCTTCCAAGTGGGCATGGCAAATGGCCAGTTGCGTAGTGCCTCTGGCAAAACCCGACGTTCCAAGAGGGTTCGAAGGAAATCTCGAGTCTCCGTGTTTGATCCTGATTTCCCTTCCACACCCTAGGCGCCAGTTCCGACCTGGAAGCTGACAAGGCAGCGCCCAAGATCACAGGCAGCCTCGTGCAGTTGCGCGCCATGCATCAATTGCCCGAAGCCTGCCCATGTCCAAGTTTAACACGACCATAACTTCCAACATGTGGTCTGGGAGCGTGGAGTGGCATTGCCTCTGACTTGCGCTTGGTCTCAGCCATTGGTTGTGCACTGCCGCTTTGGCCGCGGTGTTCGAACAGCTTTATGTCCTCGAGGTTTGTGCATCCCAGGCACCTGCAGCAGAGCCTTGAATGGAGTCAGCGACCGCAGCTTCAGGTTCGACCGGGGAGGTGGCGGATGTTTGCTGTCTCAGCTTGGATTGGCAACAATGAGACTTGGAGGTGACTCGGACCATGTGCACTTTCGCCAGCTTGAAAGGTGAGGCTTGTTCACCTCACTGCTGGCAAGGTTTTGGTTTTTAGGATTTTTGGTTCTGTTCATTTTTAATAGGAGCTGCAAAAGAACAGCCAGTTTTTTTTGCACGCGCATACCTAAGAGTGGTAAAGTTCCAACGGGCACACACTTCCAGCATGAGTTCAGGATGTGGGTTGCGGGAAGGCAGTGCCCCCCCCAACGTATAGATAGCTCAGAGATAGAAACCTCCGTGATGCTCGTGGAAGAGCAGCTCCACGACGCCGAATCCAGGATAAGGTTTTCGCGTGCTTTGGATCGGATTCCGCGTGGCGAAGATCGTAGCTCTTTTTGCCAAGCGCAAGGAATGTGACGCATCAAGACGGGCTCGAGAGCTTGATTCGCCGTCGGGTCGAGGCTAGGGGCACTGGTTGGCAAAACAGCAGGTGCCGGCCCAGGTAAGCTGTGGTGTCAAGCGATGCTCCGTTCATACAGGGTTATGCTTCGTTTGATTGCAACCAAGTGGAGCGGGTGCGCCTTGATGCTGGGTGTTGCGAAGCGAAGGGAGTGCGCAGTGCGAGTGGAAAAAGACAAGGTCAGGGGCTTTTTGGGACAGACCCCCCGCCCCCACACAGCAGCCCTCGCCGACACTTTGTGTGGAGCTCGTTGATTTGAAATTTTCCGGACCGCACACCACATCACCCCAACGATTTCCTTTTGGAACAACCTTCCAATCTAATCGTTGTAACGAGTCTAACCTCGTTTTTGTGGAGGAGGGTGAGGGGCGGGTGTGCCCCTTGAATTGACCGCGCCCTTTTCCCGTAGGTCACCAAGTCAACCGCCCTGCTTGGATCTTCGATTCGCCAAGTTAGCACGTGGTGATCGCCACCGGTTTTGTTTCACCCCCTAGCAAGGTCAACCCCACTTTTTACGGGGGGACGAAGTGGGTTGTAACCGAACGGTTGCCAAGAGCCTACGAACTTGGCCGAAGTGAGATTTGCCCTTGTGATCTGAGGTAGGTCACCTTATATCTAAACCCTAAACCCTCTCCCGACCAGCGCGCTCATGTCACAATTTGAGACATGCTCGGCAAAGTCTGCCCAAATGTAGCTTGGGTATCAAAGGAAGTGGCGACGTGGCAAGTTGATATGGGTGAACGGGTTTCTGCTCTATAGCTGCTCGAAGCATCAAGGATCACCCTTCAGCATCCTGCATGCGTTTGTGCTGCGGTGCGCAAGTCCCAAAACCTGGCTGGTGCGCAAGTTGCGAACTTCTAAGGCTGTGGTTGGAGCCAAGCTCCATGGAGCTTGTAAACAGTTGCTTCTTTGTGTTTTGCCCCACAATTGCCAGAGCAAACAACTGCCTCTTACTGTCGTGGTTCACGATTGTTGGGGAGGTCGCTTGCGCCATGGGTTCTGAGGCCATAGCCCATGCTGAGGGCACGTTGGTCTGCGCGACAATTGATTGGCTCGAGTAGTTTGGTTTGCGGTTGCTCCGAGCAATTCCAAGGCTTTGAGGTTTGATCGGGATGCCCGTTCGTCGACGGCCAAGAGGCCTTCATTTTGCCTCCCCATGTAGTGCCCGCCTTTCAGCTGACTCTTCCTGTCTTTTGACCGCACAGCTGCTTGGGGTGTGCATAGATGATCAGCGATGAGGGAGTGACGCCAGGCGCAATGAGCAGCCACTCTCAGACACCGCCGAAGTGGTTTTGCACTTTGTTGGGCTCATCAGAGAGTGGAAGTCATGCTACCCAATGTGCAGCACGCCAACGGCACTTCCAGCTTTATTGGAGTTCCGTTCGTCAGTGCGCACGGGTCGTCCTGACAATCCTAGACGACTTGCAGCATGAAGTTGCAGGCTGAAGCCGGGCCTTTCCGCTGGATCCACACTGAGATTGCAGCACGTGGACCCTACCGTGAGCTGTCCTTTCGACAGCGTCGCCTGTGACACCTGCACAAGGGGGTCGAGAGTGGAAGCTCAACCAGCTGGCGCAAGCTGAACATGGCAAGTTGCCTGCTTCTTGTTCTGCCAAGGGTCCAGGTCCTACAGCCGGTTCAACCAGCAAGGCCGAGAGAAGGAACGTCAGCAGCTGGCCATTGCACGCTCCACAATGATTTGGAGCCGCCGTGCAGCTGGCAAGAGAGAGTCCAAACAACAAATGTGGCGCAACCGTCGGCGTTCGCTTGCAAGATGTTGGCTTTCTTCCATTCTCCCGCAGCGTGAGCTGTTTGAACTTAGACGTGGCAAATGAGATAAGTTCAGATAGACTGCAAGCTAGCTTGCTCAGTCGGCGGCAGATTTTGGTGAAATGTGTGGCGCGCCATGATCTGTAGCACCCGTTTTGGTTCGGTTTCCATGTTTTAGCTTTCGCTGAACACGCATTGTGGGAACTGGAAGCACTGGGATGATTTGTGAAGTGGCATCGCCCACAAAGCCAAGCCCCCCCTCCCCCAACGCGAGGACCTCCGCATCACGGGGCCCAAGCCGCCCTTCACCATCGCCACTCGAAGCGACGACCGGGGAGGTGTTTTTTTGGACTCAACACGGGCATCTTTTTTGAGGGTGTCCCTTCATGGGGTTGGTTTAAATGGGTCCCTTTTGTTGGGCCTTAAATCTGAATTCAAGAGTTGGAACCAGCTTAAAAGTGGTGGAATCCCCATTTTAATCATGTTCATCAAAGGACCTGGCTTCCCTTCCAATACCAAAAAGAAGGGCCTCCATTTTCCACGCACGCCTATGAATATGTGCATGTGTTTTCCCTTTTTAGCACTATTCCCTTCAGAACAACCTGAAAAAGTACCACGGAATAAAACCAAACCCCTGTTTCCCCAGAACCACGGCTATGACCCACTTAATGTTGGACTCTGTTTAGTGTGACCCCCCCCCCCCCCCCGAGTACTATTAATAAAGGAGCTCCAACATTAGGTAGATCCAAGAAGGGACAACCACAACAAAACCACATCTCGGGCCTCCCCGCCCCCCTCAGCCATGCGCAGAAGGGAAAAACTTCGCGCTTGATTTCAAGTGAGGTGCACTCTTTCGCGACCTGCGAGCTGTGCAAGTCCAACGCGGCAGGCGCGGGGATGTTGGATCGTTCAATAGGTGTTTGGCTTTTGGGTACCTTTTGTAGGCGGGTTCAAAGGAAGCCAAAAAGGAAACCACCCATTTCGTTGGGTCCAAATCCTCCCCTTTCGACCTTCCGTGGGTGATTTGGATCCGTCCGCGGTTAATAGCCACTTACCGGATGTACCCAAGAACCCCCTTCAAGTCATGTGAGTCAGACCAACCCCGCGAGAGAAAGGCACGTTGCTTTTGATTCTTCAAGTGTGGCTGTTTCAGAAGGGAGAGAAGCCCACCCGTCTGACAGCCTTTGACTTGGAATCCGGCTTTTGCTGTAGTTGTGACCACCACTTGAATTCGAAACCAGCGGTTGGCTGAGAGGACTTCTTGAAGGTCCTTCCCTAGCGAATCCTTCACTTGGTGGCTCATAACAAGTATGTTCAGCCTACGCAGCAAGCAAGTTTTTCACCTCGGCTATGGGCGGGACAAGCGAACCATGGATATATAAGCTGCCAAGCCATCATTTTGGTGGGACGCCAAGATTGTTTGTTGCCTTGCCCTGAGCGGAGCCAGGCAATCGTGCTGGAAAGGCGGGGGAAGCGCGGGGGCGGGATGGACATGCGAGTGGGCACGGGGAAGTTTGCAGCGAGAGATGCTTACTCCCGCGCAAATTGACATGGAGCCAACCACCCGATTCGGTTAGACATAGATTGGTTCGGAATAGATGGTGCTGGTTTAGATTGGTTTTATTCCTTCCGTTTATCAGCACCATCCATTTTCCGCTATGTCCCACCTGGTTTGGTTCCAAGGCCTGCAACTGACACCAACAGTGAATATGTGAAGCGAGCGCCAGTTGTGTGTCCAAGTGACGGAGGTTTCGTCGCAGGTCTTGGGAGGCTGAAGGGCACCCACAGAAGCCCATTTGGGTGCCTCGTCTTTTTTTTGGAATGGAAACCAACGTAGGAGAACCCATTTGGCTGTCTACACCCACCCATTTTGTTCTCAACAGGTCTGTCAGCTATGGATTTGTTTTCTCTTTTGGGGCTTGCGGAATCCCTATAACATCTCATGGTCGAAACTCCGCTGGCCATGGTCGTGGTTTGATTAGAAGTATGGTAGTCTGACCTTGCGGTTTGCTTTTTGGCTCCCTTTGGCTTCCTTTTGGGGCGTGTGCGTCCTTAAAGGAAGCGAGTAGGAACCTGTTGCCACTTGAAGGCCCCCTAAGTCTGGAAGCACTCGTTTGGATATGTCACAAGAAGGAGTTGGACCCAAAACACGGTGGTTTCCTTTTTGATTTCCGTTTAAATGAACCTGACAAGGGGTACCCGCAATTTAAGACAAGGCCAATTGATATCCCCCACGACCCCTGAACCGTCCTCTTGAACCCTCCCCGAAAGCTGCCCCACCCCTGAGCCCTTGCCAGAAGCCAGGTGGTCTACCTTGTGGCGACCCAACAAGGGCAGCAAGCCTCAAAAACCCACAGACCCATCAAAAAATACAGTGGAGGGTTGCGCAATCCATTTCGCACTGTTCACAAACCCATTGGTTTCCGCTCGATTCCCCAGCGTAAATACTTAAATACCGCTTCGCACCGTTCAGAAACCCAATGGCTTCTCATTCGATTCCCCGACATAGACTTACCGCAACAAGCGTCGTGGTTCCTGTCAACGGCTTCATTTCGTTTGAAGGGATCTCGCAACCATCCTCAGGGGGCCTTGAGCCTCGAGCGAGCCAAGCGAGCCACACCCAAAAATGGTTTCCCGGACCAAGCTCTTCCAGCAATAACATGCACACCCTCAACAGAATACTCACCCATGGGTTTCCGTTTCCTTTGGTGTTGTTAGGTTTCCTTTGGTGTTTTTATGCATTGAAGGTCCTCTGCTTCCCTTTTGGCTCTTCTACAGAGAGAAAAGCAACAGGAAGCCAAAGGGAAACCTCTGTGGCTGGTTGCGAAATCCATTTCGCACCACCGTTCAGAAACCCTCCAACGTAGGCAACAAACAATGGTTTCAACCATGGTTTCAAAGTGGTTCGAACGGATTTCGTCCACAGTATGTTTGGAACATGTTTGGATGCCAGTGCCAGGGCCAGACCGTGGGGACGTACCCGGCCCTGGGCTTCATGTACGACTTCGTGGTGGTGATCTCGGCTCGTCTTCCAGACGTTTTTGCGCACGAGAAAAGCTTGAGAAACATAGCAAGGTGGCTGGCCTTTCTAGCTAGTCGGAAGGGAGCGTTTCCGGAGCTGGGATTCGGTATCCAAGTTTGCTTTTAAAGAGGGAGTGGGACTCGGGCCCCTCACACCTTTTGGAAAGAAGCGCCATCTTGTGCTCAGGGGGCAGAGGGAGCAACCTAGTCTAGCCGCATCCCCATTCTGTTCGATCCTTCTGTTTAGATAGGAAATCCAACGTCCAAAAGAATCCGCCAGTTTTGCTCCGCTTTCAACAGGTGAGCCGCGCTCGAAACCACCATTGGCCAGTTTAGTAGGTGGTTCTACTACTTGGTCTCACAAGGGCCATAGTAAGGCTTATATAAACCCTTGTATCCATGTTAGTAGAAAGAAAAAACATATCAATAGGTTGTGGTCGCTGCTCAGGTGACCTTTTTAGTGATGGTCAATTCCATTTGGCCCTTGCAGTGGTTTGTCTCCCAGATAGGCGACCTAAGGAAACTGGGTTCCCGGAAGGGTTCCGGGCGTTGGGGATACCACCTGGGCTTATGAAGCTGTTTTGCTTGCCAACCTCGCTTCTAGCGTCGGGAGAACGATGATATGAGTGTGTCTTTTTTTAGTGAAACCCCCCAAAAACGGTGGGTATCCTCTTGGTTTCCCTGTAAATCCACAAATTTGGAAACCCTCCGAAAAAGACAGACCCATAGCTCAGCCGCCCCAGGCGACGTGCTTTTCCTGTCCTTCCAAGCCTTAATCGGATCTTCCCATCCGGCTTTTGGTTCCGCGGGCTCGAAGCGATGGGATCTGTTTGGGTTTGGGGCTTCAGGCCTTGTCAGTGGGTTGGGCGACCTGGCACCAACTTGGCGCCGGGAGGTTTGGCGACATGGGCGCGGTTTCTCTTTTTTTTTTCGGATCGCCAAAAAGGGGCTGGCTTTAGAGAGAACCAAAAGGACTCCAGCCGTTCTTGGGCATTGCCCTATTTTGAGACAACCCCATCTCTGACCAAATGCTGAAGGAAAGACTCACAAACAGACGGATTGCAAGTGAGCCGGAATTGGCCAACTATTTTGCCACAACATAGGGGATTGTAAACGGATGAGGTTTCCATGCGCCCTGGTACCCTCCCCCAGACGATTCCATGGAAGCTCCGAGGACCTCTTTCGAAGACTACCTTCTGGGAGCTCCCATGTTAGTCTGAGGGAGTTTTGGTGGTTTCCTTTCGGCTTTCCTGGTAAAACCCATCCAAACAGGGGCCAGCATTTGCTGAGACACCAGCCAGCTACGTTCGGCCAGGGAGCCCTGTCTCCGGGTTTGTACGGCTACACCCCGCGGAATGATTTGCGAAGCGCGCTACAGCAGAGGGTGATGTTGGGCTTCAACACTCAGGACACCACCGCACCTCGGCCGTTGTCGATGGCGTCAAGTGGGGTCGGCCCCTTTAACGTGGCGTCTCCAAAGCTGGTGTATTCTTCGGGGTCTCAATATGAGAGAATCTGAACATCGTTGCTACATCAAATGCGGGCCAAGCAACAGTTGTTGCTTTTTGGTTGGATCCAGAACCTTGAAGTTGGGAAATGGTCAGCTTTTTGCCGGACAGCCGGAAGTGACCATTTTAGGGTTCTCAAGATTATACTTCAGGGTGGGAACCCCCTTCAAGGAGCATTTAGAGGATCATCTTGAGGATGTCCTGAGTGGTGGGTTTTTGGGCCCAACCGCTTTTGCCTCCTTACCACCCGTTGGCTTGTGGTCCTCTGCTATTCAAACCGAAAAGCAACATCCAGATCTCCAAGAACAAGCTAAAACACAAATCTGACCAAGGCCATGTTTGGGTCTTGCTCGCTTACGAATCTGAAACCGAACAAAAAACATTGACACATCGAAGCAAAACAACAATCTGACGAAGGACATGTTTGGATCTTACTCACTTACGAGTCAGAAACTGAGAAACACATTGAGAAATCGAAAGGAAAACAGAAGAACAATCTTCTTCTAGATATGATGGGAGATATGATGGGGTATGCCAATAATTCCCCGTGTCGGATTGTGTTTATTCGATTTGTCGATGTGTTTGTTGGTTTTCTAATTATCGCGTGCCTTTTTTGTTCTGTGCATTTTTGGGGAAAGGATTTCTTTTGCAAAGGAGTTTGACCACAATTTGATGCCAATCTACATGAACTTCAATCGGAAACAGTGCAGGTATTTTTCTTAAATTTTTAATAGAATGTCCTTTCCAAATATGGTTGTTTGAGGTTTACATACATGTTGAATGGAATTTCATACAGAAATAACATACTTGTTGCTTCTTTCAGTTGGCCTGCGCCTTAAAGCAGTAAACAACCGATAAACAAGCTCGAGAAGAAGCATATTCAATTCTTTTAATTCAAGATACGAATAGTCTAATTGAACACTGTCCTTATTAACATATTATATATAATTTCCAATTCCGTTGAATCAACATCCTATTTGCAGAGAAGTTTGATTTCAGTCCGAACTTCAGATAGAACCGCTAATTATCGATATCTTTCTTTATCAACCTCTATGCTGTTGCTTTGCTGTAACGTGACCTGTTTCTGCGTTTGCACCAGCATCCCCCTCTCTTGATTACTGGAGAATTTGGCGAAATGCACGTCAAACAGGTTTTTTGCCCAAAGCAGAGTCCTCTAAAAACCGCAGAGCCGCCTTGGACATTTCAATCATGGGCTCCGATTGGCAAGAGGGATGTATGCCAAAGGGTTTGGAGAGTTTCCAGTTGAGACGGGAGAGTTTGGGGCTCTGGATCCAAATGTGCCATCGGTGAAGGGGTTAGAGACGTTCATCCACCTGGTAAGGATCCTGAAGCAACCGTTCTTAGTGACCGTATACTGATTCCTATTGAGGGAGCCATGAGAGAGACGTCTCTTTTGACCCGACGGAGGATGCGCCCTTAGTGCCCTTTTTTGGTTGGGAGGGCTCCCCTACTAAAATAGACTGCAGCAAAAAGTTGGTGCCCTTATTCTGAACTTTCTACTGGAGGACCTAGAAAACCAAGAGAGCAAATATAGCCCATGAAGGTCCTTTACGGGTTGCCGATTTTCCTGAGAATTGTTTTTTTGACCGGGTGGGTTTGCCGTTGGGGCACCCTTTGCAACACGCACCCTTGTCAGGTACGAAATAGAAACGGATGATACAAACAGTGGCCTCGATCTCTTAGCACCCCGCCTCTGCTTTTTCTGGATGAGTGACCAGTTTGCAAAAAGGCACTCTTGGCAAACCCACCCTAGTGGCAACCAAGGATCCCCCTCAAACTATCCCCTCCGCCCCGCAACATGTCTTGGCTTCCCAGTTCCAGATACCTTAGGAAACCCTTCGTCAAAACAAAGGAAAGAACCATACACCCAGTGGCTTGCAAGCCGCTGTAGCAGGTACAACCCGATACGGTTACCTGCGGTCGAACGGGTCAGCCTTGGACCCAGACAGTCAGATTCGGCTGATAGGGACCCAATATTAGCTGAGCGTATGGCAGTTTTTTCAGTTTTGAACCCCAATGTTGGGGAGAAAATATCAGGCGGGTCCGACTTTCGTCCGAGTTTGGTCCCATTGACACGGATTTTTTCCTGGTTAACTTCTATCGTGGCCGGAACTTACTAGTTCTCAGGGAATAAAAACTGGAATGACCACGATTTAAACCATCCAACGGGTGGTTTCCCTTTAAGGACACCCCCAAACGGTTCATTCCAACGCATTCCCTACTTCTCGCACCAGCCGTAGGTGTCCTTTTTGGCGGTCGAAACATAGATGGCGATTCCTGGTTTCCCTGGTTTCATCATCTACCAGGGAAACCCATCTATTTCCCCCGAAAAGGACGCCTCCCCCGGCCAAGTGGACGTGGATCTGAGGATGTGATCTGCTCGCACCTGCTGAGCCCGCTGCAGCAGACCCCGCTGGCCGGGCTGCCCGTCTGGGCCGGCGAGTACAAGGCGCGGGACCGGATCGATGGGATCAAGTCATTGCTTGGAGGCGGGGAATCTCTGGATCCAACGAACGAAGGAATCCGGGTCTCTGAGCACTGAGTGTGCGACCTTTAGGGAGTTGTTTTTTGGTGGCCAAATGAAAAAGCATCCACCAACCTGTATATAGGGAATATGACAAAACGACCTCAAGGAGTGCAAAAAAAGAGAACATACCCGGGGGGGTTGGGAACTGGTGACCACGCCGTTTTCCAGATCAATCCTATGGAATGCAGGGATCCTAGTCTGGAATGTTTTGATCAAAAGGTCTGAGGAACATGGGGTGACCACTAGGGAAGTTCGCCAAACATGTTTGACTTTCACATGGGAAAAGTTCGCCATGGTCCCTAGTAAGCATCCCATGGTTGATTCTGATCCTGGGGCAACTCCTTTTATTCGTTTTGGATTCGGACCACTTTTGGAGGGGGGATAGTTACCTATTACCTATGAATAGGACGGGTTTATCAATCTGTAGTCCACACTGCAGCGTTGGAGTGCTTTTAAACGCAGCACCTTTCCGCTCAGACAGCTTCGGAAGGCTAATTTTTAACTGATCCAACCGGCCGAATTCAGGGGTCCTGTTTCGCGGGCTCCGTTCACTGACGGGTTCCGATCGGCGTCAAAGAGGCCCTTAGCTGGGGCAATTGGAACTCTACGTAGATGGGCAGCCAAAATTGGTGTGGATCTTTGGCCATGTTGATTCTTTGCGTGGCCTCGCGACCCAGCTTTCATTGCGAGCTTGGAAATTCAGCCTGGGTCACTTTCTGAGTTCAGGGACTTTAGTCACCTAAAAATTGTTTGGATATGATATTTCGGGTTATCCCATAGGCCGAAGAATCTCCTTGCGATCGATCCGAAACCTCTGCCAAGCGGAGTCTGAGCCCTTAATGTTGACCCCTGATTAACAACCCTGCAGTTATCAATCAGGTGGGTTTCCTGGGTGAAAGGAGTCCCCACCAACAAGGGACCCCCTTAATATAATAAGTGGGGAGGGTTTATTCATCAGGGGTCAGCATTTGACCTTTGGGCAGAGTTCCTTCGAAGGACAGCCCCGTTGTGAGTGTTTCTCAAACCGCCGGGCGCCCCTTTTGTCGGTATTTACAGGGACACCAAAAGGACATCAACAGCTTTGGACCACTATTTTGAGAACCACCTCCCCCGGCAATGAGCCTGGATTCGTCGACCTTTTTTTCCAACTTACAACATTGTATTCAGTATGTTTTTTGGCGTGTATCATTTCGACTGCAAAAGATTCGGATAGAACCGGTCCATTGGGATTGCAGGCGTGGTACCAGTCTCTCTCGGATAGCAAGATGAGCGACTTCGAGGAGGAGTGTGGGGTTCGTAGCAGCGAAAAACCCGTGATGACCTAAAATTTCCTCCAGAGCCTGCAAGGGTGGCGTGAATTTCAATGGGACACCAGTAAATTGATCAACTATTGATTTGGGCAAAGTCAGAGACTCCTGAAGGAAACACTCAAGCACCAAAAGGCAAATGGCTGGGTACACACTTGGATGTTCGATTCGCCAAGTTAGGTGGGTAGCCACTTGGGTCTCCCCCAAAAAACTAAGGCTATCTCAAAAGTGGGTTGCAACCTCAAAATAACAAGGATATGCTGACTTAGGGGTACTCAAAAGTAAAAGTGGTCTGTAAAACCTAGGTTCCAAGGACTTACTTGGCGAATCGAACACCCAAGTTACTTAACGTCCGTCTCTTGGTCAGGCCTGCGGGTCTGGTGGTCTGCGGGTCTGCGGGTCGGTGTGCCGGTCTCGGGGGTCTTAAGATCTCTGGCGTTCCGAAGTGCGCAGTGGGAACCAAAAGGAGAGGAGCCAGCCAGTCTCTGGGATTCTCCCCAGAGGTCTCCAGGAATTCGCACAAAAAGGGGGGGTCGGAACCAAAAGGAGCCAGTCAGTCTTAAAAAGTCTTCCAACCAAGACTTTTAGCCAGCAGCGCCCTGTGCTTTCTTTCGCGATTGGCCGAACACCGGCAAATAGAGGGCTTGCTCCTTTTTGGCATGAATTACTGGCTTGTGAGCCGGACCAGCCCAAAGTTGTCACTTTTTGCAGGGGGTCCAGACATCACCTGGACCCCAAGAATCTCTTTCCACGAGCTTGAACGTTTCATTGATCCTTTGCGTCAAATTCAGCAGGGGTCACGGAATTGTCTGTTTTGACACCTCAAACGACGAACTTTTTGTTGGAACCCGGCCGGAAACTGCCGCTTTTCTCACCGGAAAATCCCCTTCGCTGAACGTTTTTTTTGGGTGACTGAAGAGGACTTCAAGAAGATCAGCAGCTGGGTGGGCGCTTCTTCCTGCGCCGGTGCCGGCGCCAGACTGGAAGGCCGGAACTGCCGGAAACTTCGGATGAGCCAGTCCTCAACACCCGGGTAGATGAATCTTAGTAAAGGAGATTCCCTGAAACATCACAGTGGTTTGGGTCATCCCCTCGTTCCCTGCTGGGCACCAGCAAGTTTCTGCCACTTCGCTCATTTTCAGGTGAGCCACAATCAAAACCCGGGGAAGTGAAGGTTAGTAAAGGACGATCCCCAACCATAAATAGCTGCGGATATCCGCCTGCTTGATTCCTTACATGGTTCTGGGTAGACCATTTTAGTACCGGGTTTTGATTGTGTCAGATCCCGCAGTACGGGTTTGGATAGGTTCCAGCGTGGGGTTTCATTGGCTTATGTTTGCGAGTCCACCGTTGAAGATCCAAGAGCTTCCACCACCCGAATGGCGGCTGTTCAGAAGGTCCGTGATACATGGGGTGACCATGAGGGAAACCCACCCAAACAGTGAAAAGGGTAATTACAACATAGGTCCATTCGAACGGAAACAAGACGCCTATGCTCTACCCCGAACATACTTCCACAACCTGAAGCGACTATTGACAGGGAAAGAAAGCCAACCTCGGGGTTTTAATTCGGCAGATTGCAATTCACAAGATTGCAATTCACAAACCCGAAACAAGAATTGGGTGTGTCTTCTTTTAGCTTCCTTTTTGGTTTTCCTTCAACCAACAAGGTATCCTCGAAAAAACCTGCGCCCACTTGGATACCCAAGGCGACCTTTGCAAGCCCTGGTTTCAACTCGAAGAACGGAAGAGTGGAAGATGGAGCACCCATAAAACCACCAAAAGGCGACGCCTCGGGCAGTACGGTTTGTCTTTTTTGCATTTGGGTGTGGTTTTGAAGGGAAACCAAAAGGACCACTGAAGCCATTTTGGGGGGTCCCCAAAACAAGACCAACAGCCAATTGCAAGGTGTCTAAGATCCCTAGGGGATCGCATGACCGAAAGCGGCTGCGAGCTGCGCTAATGGGTTTTGCTTTTGCTCTCAGCAAGGTGAACATGCAACTCCCTTGCATAATAGCACACCCCACAAGGACAGTGATTTAGCCCGCCAGTTTCTGGGCTCCATGCTGATTTGCAGGGGAGTAATCCCGTTCCCCTTTGAGATCCATTTCGGGTTGGAAGTGGTAAGCAAGAATGAGAGCAGCTTCAGGGAGAAGCCCCATTCCCAAGGGGCTTTTTCCTGGAACTTTATTTGGTTGGCTAAACACACCAACAGAAAAATCCCCCCCCCCCCCCTCCCCCCTTTTGCAGACCCCACCTCCAGAGGGGTGCAAGTTGGGGGATCGAAATCCCAATTTCGACACACACCCACTTGTTTGAACCGCATTTCAACCTGGGGGCATTCAGGTTCACCCACCCGAACCAAATCCTGCTTTCGAAGTGGTCAACCGAAACCATTCGACTCTGCCAGGTGGGGTATGCATTTGGATGACTGCCATGGATTTGGCAGGTTCCGACCTCGAAATTGGGCATACCACCATGGTTCGTTTGCCTGGCCCACCAAAGCTTTTCAGGCCATCCTGAATTGGTGGTTTGGGGCACTTGACATTTGGGCTCTTGTAGAGGGTAAATGGGAACCCCCGCCATGGCCACCAAACCACCAAACCAAGCCACCAACTGGGGGGCACCCCCCAACAGCTTTTCCCATCTCCAAAATCATTAGTACTGTCCAACAGAGCAGTAGTTGGGACCCGGGTGCTAGTCCATTTTTGTTTGTCTTAAGCTTTGCCCAGCAAGGCTTATCAGGGAACCCCGAAATGGTCGTTTCGCCTCTAACCACCAAGGGGGAAGCTGAGCTTTGGCTTACGAACCAAGGAAACAGCTTCAACACCAATCAACAGACTACTTTTACGGCCATCATGTTTTGCCAAGCAAACGTTCGTAGATTGAAGAACGTAATCCTCAAACGAACTACCCACAAGTGAAGCTCACGCTTGAGGCCACTCTACAAGAACCAACATCTCAAATCCCCACCCATCCAAGCCCATTCAGGATTTCGGAGTTGGTGCCTTGGTTTGGTGGCTTGGAAGCCTTGGCTTAGCGCTTCCGGTTCCGCCTCAGCTTGGGCAGGCGTGTCTTTGTTCGAGTTCCAAGTGTCCTACTTCAAAGGCTCCGAGGACCATCAGATGGACTTCGGCGTCTACGAGCTGGGCAGCAAGAAGACGCTTTGGCTTGCGGGAAGAGAAGGGGGGAGGGGGGATGGGGATGCGGATAAGATCTGTGCCACGTAAACATTGGGTGTGGCGCAAAACATGTACCAACATGGCACCTTGGTAAATCGACCTGCGCAAGCTTAGCTCTGTTCTTTTGAGCTAATATGTCAAATAGTTGGGCATTTGCAACAAAGCACAAGTCTGAGCACCCCTTGATTAAATCAAGGGGTGTTTCAGGTGACTTAGGGATGCTTTTCTGGACCAGAGGTTAGCTGGTTAGCTGAGCTGGACGGGAGAGGCCGACCCCAAGCGCAAATGTTTGACGTAGCGGGTACGGGCGTGTCTCTTTCTTTGTCCTTTTTCCTACTGATGGACGAATCCATTTTGCGCTACCTAAGAAACCCAAGCGTGATGATTCCTTTGCGCCAACAAACGATGGGAAACCCCATGGCTTCCAAATGGTGCGAACGGGTTTCGATTTCAACCACAGGATTCGTCCTGTTTCAATTTGCACGCCTCCGTCGTTTAACTTCTAAGGGCCAACTTGCATACCCCAAATAAACATACCCCCAAATTTAGTGGTTATACATGGGCAATACAGGGTACCCCAAAAGCCATCCTGAGGCCCCAAGGTGTATGTCCATTTGTTGCATGGAAGTTGACCCTCAGAAATTACTTTTCCTGTTTTGATTTGCAGCCTTCACCTGGGAATGACCTTCCGTGTGTTGGGAATGAAGCCCTTGGGGATTCCCGAGCAAAGGGAGCCAAATCGAGGAAGGTTTTTTCTCGGGGTCATTCCAATTCTCATTCCCTGCCTATCAAAGCAGCAAGTTTCATTGGTTTGGGGGGGGTCCTTTTCGCAGTTTCCCTCCAATTAACAGAAAAAACCTCCAAACCACCCCCTGCGAGAACGTCAGGTTCCTTCTGTTTACTTAGTTTCACTGGTTGGGGGAGGGGGACAAATTCATTGGGCTTTTCTCGGCCAGCAAGTGTCACTATGCTTCTCCTGGTTAGTTGTTGTTGGTTGATTGGGTCCTTTTAAAAGGAAACTGGTCCAAACCACAGCCCCCCCCCTCTTATTTCACTAGGTGGTTTCTTTTTTGTTCGTTGGTTTCACTGGGTGATTACTGGTTGTTTTGATTAATTGGTTAATTGGTTAATTGCTTTCACTGGTGAATTAGTTTTTGGTTTTACTGCTTGTTCTAGGTGTGATTTTCTCGGTTTCACTGGGTGTTTAAGGAATTTAGGCCAGGCTCCTGGCTCCTTCAGTGTGAAACGGGGTAGGGTAATGACCCCGGATCAACACACCCCTGTTTACTAATACGGGGGGGGAGAGTGATGATTCCCCACTAAACTCCAAAAAAGAAAAATGAACATTAACAAACAGGGGTGGAGGAATATTGGGGTCAACATTGTGTGTGAACTTGGGTGTGTCGCTTTTCTCAGTCTAGGTTGTTTCTTTTGGTCAATTGCTTTCACTGGTTTTGTTTGTTTTCTCGTTTCACTGGCTGCTTTAGGCCAGGTTCCTCGTTCCTTCAGTGTGAATCCACTTCCTGAATCCATGGACTTTAATTCTCACTTCCTGAGTTCATGGACTTTAAGCGTTCCCGGCTCCTTCACTGTGAAACGGGGCGGGAGGGCTCGAATCCGGGTTTTCCACATGGTCAGGTTCCTGGTTTCAGTGTGAAAAGGGGCGGGCGGGTCCCGAGACTCGGAGGATCGGCAGCACGGTGAAGGATGAGGCCACCAACTGGGAAACCTACCCCGTGTGGTGCCGCCGCGCCCGGCGCCGGGAACCCGAGCGAGCCACGAGCCGCCAGCGAGCCGGGCGGAGTTTTTCAGACCTCCAGTGTTCCGTTTAGAGAGGTTGGCACCCTTTTTTGGGTTGGGTTTAAAGGGAACACTGCAAGGACACCCCATCATTTTGTGGCAGTTCCCCCCGATTTATCATCATCATCATCATCATCATCATCATCATCATCATCAACAACATCAACAACATCATCAGCATCATCATCATCATCATCATCATAATCATCATCATCATCATCATCATCATCATCATCATCATCATCATCATCATCATCATCATCATCATCATCATCATCATCATCATCATCATCAATATCATCAGGCAAAACCAAAATGACACCCAATCATTTTGGGGCGGCTCAATGTGTGTGTGTGTGTGTGTGTGTGGGGTGCAGGTATATATATATATATATATATTTGATGGGGACCCTTGGTTACCCTGGTCATCTAGCCGGTTTTGCCTGATGGGTCAAGTATGTGTCCAAACGTATATTGGACCAAAGAGGTTTCTCTTTAACGCACGTTCTATTGGGAGACCGGTGGGAGCTTGTAAAAAATAAGCAAATATGAACCAGGGGAACACTAAACAAAAGCAATGGTATGTGTCGAAAGTCCAGGAAACCCGCAATATGCAACATGGTGGCTTTCCGTTTGGTTTCCCTTCAAACCAAGCCCGAAAGGGTACCCAAAAGACACGCAGAGTGGGCGGCGAGCCAATGTCTTATGGAACTCCACTGCAGCTTAACCCTCCAGGGGTAGTGATTGGGGTTGATTAATATTCCTGGCCCCAAAGTGATGATGGGTAGCATTCTCATTTGGCGGTGAAAGTCATCCTATCCCATGTAGAGGACCTTTTGAACAACAGCCATTTGGGTAGTGGAAGCTTTTACTTGGATGTTCAACCTACTTAAGTAAGTTATAACCATGACTGGGAACACAGGGGCCGGTTAACTCATGGGCATAAGCCTAGTGGGCTCAACATGTGAGGGGACCAGGCGAAAGCTCCAGAGACCCGTGTCAGGGTGGAGCGCTTTTCAGCCCTAGAGAAGTAGTTTCTCGATGAACATGACATTTCAAGCAGCATGGGTGTGTCTAAATCCGGGTACCCTTTTGGCTTGGTAGGGACCACCTACCCTTCCTCCAACAAGCATGACATTTGTGGCAGGGTACGTCGAATATTAACGTCCGTTTCAAGGGACCCTCTGTCAGGTGCCATGTTAGTAGGAGGGAGGGTACCCATTTTGGGGTCATCCTAAAAAAGACGAGCCACCCACATCTATGGAGGGATCTCTTTTGGTGACCTCCCAGAAAGTGCTCCGCGCCAACCTGACCGGTTCCTTTTGGTTTGAAGTGGTGCAACCAGTCCTCCCCCTTCCACCCTGGTTGAATGTTTTTTGTCCTTTGACCACTTGATTGCACACGTACATGTTTACGGGGGGTTGAGGAGAGACTGATGCCTGGCCCAGAAAGGATCGGATCACATCTATGGACTCAAAGTGCAGTTTCCTATCCCAGACTGAAGCCCGCGAATGGGACGACCGGGGCCGGTGCCGGCCGACAAAACTATCGTTCGGTCCCAAATCGGCCCGGAAGTCCTGGTGGGCTCCACCATTTCGGTATGTGTTAGAACAAATGGGGACCAAATGATTAGTTTCCTTTGCGTTTCCGTCAAAAGGCCATCCCCAAAAGGGCTACCTCAAGACAAAGCACCCCCTGGCAGTCAAGGTGACAACTGGTGAACTCCTTTTCCATATTAAACAATGGTGGTTTGAACATGCTTACACCAGATGTGAATCGCCCAGCCCTGGTTCCAAGTCTCTTTCTCCTCAGTTTGGTGTCATTTCAACCGCACCTTCTGGATCAACACATTTGCTAGTTACTTAAACTTAGACTCAGTTGTTCAAAACCGGCCTTTTAGCCTTTTGGTTTTCCTTTCCGGTCCACTTTTAGTACAGCTCCCAACAAGTTAGTTTTTTGTTTTTGTTAAAAATAACTCCCTTGTTGGTTTTAAAAGGAATCGATTTCACCGGACATATGTTCTCGTTTTTTCCTGGGGACGTAGTCGCAAATGCAATTGTACGGTTTTAGGATCTTGGTTTTCTTATTTTGGTCCACTCCCAAAGGGTGATCTTTCGTTTTTAGGTGACCAGTGAGAACTTGGTGGCTCCCAGCCATCCGGTTCCTTAGCCCTTTTGAGCTTTTCAGTGTTTAGTGGTAGTTTCCGCATTTAACCCACTAAAAGTTAGTCACGTTTAGCGCGGGATCTGAGGGCAGCCCAGAGAATAATCTTCCCTCCTCGTGTTTTCGCCCAGACATTTGGCCGTGGCTCAAATGAATGTACTGAAAATGGCGCCAAAAGGTAAATGGAACCAAAGCCTAAACCCTGCATAACCCTGGCTCTTAAATTTTGAGCCACAACTCCCACATCGTTTTCCCACTTAGAATTTGGTTTTTCCCATCTCGGTTTTCTCATTTCGCTTTTAGGTGACCAGTGAGAAGAATCTTCCCTCGTTTCGCCCATTTCGCGAGTTTCGCCGAGGCAACGCCGAGGGCCAGTCCTGGGTGGACGCCATCGCTCGCGTGCCTTGGGAACTGCTAAAACCGGTGGTTGCCATCGGCCTGGCTGGCGCTTGAAACTGGTGTTCGAAACGTGCTTGATTTTTTTTTCAAGTATACATATATGCTGTGAGACAACACCATCTATGTACATATATGTATATATACTTTGCTGCATTTTGCTTGGATGTTAGAACTTTAACTTTTTGCCAACTAATGGGTTTTCCATTAAACCACTAACAGTTAAACTTTTAGCAGGGGAGCAGACAGCAACCGGGTATATATATATATACACATGTTTATGTATATAGTCGTGTCTTTATTTTGTTTAGCATACCCACGTTTCAATCACATTGACGCATATTTACTGCCTCGATATGTCCAATTTGTTTGCTAATCGTAACTGTTGCTAGCAGTTTGTTCTCGTGTCCCGTATTTTTGCAAGCAAGTCACTTCTTTGCAACAAGAAGCAGTAGAGACAGATTCAATTCCGGCCGTTTTGATGACACACACACACACGCAAGCTGAACCTCAATCAACATGTGATTGACATAAATGATTTCCCCAAAGGATCCCCATTCTGTACGCTTGAGCGCAGATGGCACGATTCCAACTCTCCATTTCACCCGTCCCCGTCTACTCCAGGTGTAAACTTCATACACTCCACGCGTTTTTCCGCTCGAGGTGCTTGGGGGCAAGGCCAAGGACTCGTCTTGCCCCGCGGAGCTGGATGAGCCGGAGCTGGTCGCGTGAGTTGTTTTTTTCCCGGCCCAGGCAAGAACACGGGGTGTTAGGGTTGCCCGAAACCCCAAACGATGAACGAACCCTGGGATTTTTAAGCGAGTGGTTGGAGTTAACCATGTTAGTCAACACTTCTTGTCTCACTCACGCTTTTGAGCGAGCAAGCTAGCCTCAGGTATGCACAGAGCTTCGAAGGGGCCTCGCCCGAGCGCAGTTCTTGTTTTCATCTCAAGTTGAATTTGGAGTATCTTCCGTGGTAGCGTTCGCTTCTTTCTTCCATTTGAAGAGACTTGATTTGAATAATTTCTGGAGTTGGGGTCTGCGGCTTTTGCTGCGCTTGGGCGTTAAGTCTTCATGGGCCCGCTGGCCCCGCTGCTAGGGCGGTGGAAGCAAGGCACACGGGAGTATGAACCCCCACAGCTGTTCCACTGGTTTAGATTAGTGTTTTTCAAACCATTTACCAGGGAAACAGATCGATTTTTTTCGAAAATGGGTGGTTTAGATGGGTCTTATGCCATTCTTTCACCAGGAACACTCGTCGATTTTTTAAAAGGCCACCTATGAACCGTGCCTTGTCTCTGGGGCCCTGAGGCATCGATTTCGTGTCACCGCGACGAAAATGAGTTTCCCCGCCTGCCGCCGGCCGTGGACGTGGTTTCACTCTCGTTTTTTTGGTAAAGGGGTTCTGCCACACGAAGGCGCTTGCAGAGGACCATGTTCAATGCTCAACGTTCCGTGTCGGACAGGTTCTCAGCATAACCTCGTGGAAGCTGGCGGGAGGCCATAAGAGCAGTATCCTCTTGACAAACTTTCGGTCAGCTTCCATGTTACTTGGAGTGAGGGTCCCTTTTTCTTTTCAGGAGACGAAGGTGAAACCCGGCAACCCCCATGGTTCTTTGGGAAGCTTGAGGGATGCCGGTGAACAACTCCCGGAGAAAGAGGAGGCCACCTGGGTTAGAACCCACTATCAGGATCAACTCCACGAAGAGGGGCACGTTGTTTTCTTGGGTTATCACTTCGGCTACCAACAAACTTGACTAACCTGTCCGAACACAATCTGAACTGTTTTGGAAGGTTTGGGAAAGCATCCTTGGATGTGTCTAGTCTTAGGTGACCCTCCCCCAACAAACAAAAGGGTCCTTAGCTGGTCACTTGTTGGGAATTGGGTTTGCCATGTTTTGGAGGGAGCCGCTTTAACTTTTGGAGCTTGCAGAAAAACCCAAAAGGAACATTTGCCATTTTGATAATCGATCAAGAGGTAGGGAATAAGGAGGGAATAAGGATGCAGGGTATCACGATTTGTTTCCAAGTTGGCAGACAAAAGGAGCACTTTCCATTTCAATTGGTGTCCCCGATTTCAAGACACACCCCATTTGCCCAGGTTCATCCCACGCTCTTTTTCCGCGGGCTTGGGCCGAACCCTTGTTAGACCTTCAGAGGCACTTGTTTGTTCCGGGCGAGCCCGGAAGAGTTTCCGAGACTTTCGGCAGTGGCTTGGAATCTCTTGAACGCCGGGAAGCGCCCTTTTGGGCTACGCTACAAAAAAGCCGTTCTGGGGATTGCTCGGGGTTTGCAAAGGGGGCTTGGGATTCGTGGGACTTTCCTTAGACGCCGGAGGTATTTTCTCACAGGCGAGGTGCATGTGCGCCATGGTCGAACCCATTGGCTTGACGCCCGGACGCTCATCAACCTTCAGGGAATTTGGACACGACCAGGGCTCCCACCCAAAGGCGAGCGTGAGTGATCCGGAAACCATGGCGGTCCTTTCACAAAGTTGTTCGGTTCATTTGACTCGAAGTTGCGGAGTTTTCCGGTGATTCAAGGTTTTCAGATGGCATTGCCAATAGTTTTTTGTCCTGTTGGTTTCCTTGCGACTGTTTGACAGCCTCTTTTTGCTCCATTCGCAGCCGCTCCCGCTTCCCGGCTCGCGTCTTCCACGTCACCTCAGGATCAGTTCAGCGCCTTGTTTTTCTCCCCCAAAATCTTGGGAGTGGAGCTCGTTTGTTGTGAGGGAACCCTTTTGCTTGGTGGCTCCCAGCCATTCGGGTCGTTTATTTTTTAAGCAGGTTGGTTTAGGTTGGGTTTCCATGTAACCCACTAAAAGTTAGACTTTAGAGGGGATCTGCTGGGCGAAATGAGCAACAACAACTCAACATATTTTGATGATGACCTTGAGAGAACAAAATGTCACCAATCACTGCCTCTTTCTCCTTGGTGGTGGGCTGAAAAAAGGAACCAGATGAATAGGACCCGTCTCTGGGCTTCTGGAATGGGACACGAAGAATCGAACAAAGAACGAAGCAACAAGGCACCATTCAACTACTAGTACAGCAGAACCCTCCCCCAATACACACCAAAAATTAGAACCAACAACGGCCGACATGGCCAAAATCCACAAAAAAGCACTCAGCCTGCGACTCGGACGGATGGATTCGCATCCGCTTCACGGATTCGCGGATGGATCCCTGAGGTTGGGTCTTGACCGGGAAGTTGGGCGCCTGAATTGGAGAGCCCTGGAAGACGTTCCCCCCCCCCCCCCCCAAACAGTTCTTGGAATGTCTTTTAGGCGTGCATTTTGTTGGGTTGCATGTTTGTTAGAAGTTCTTTCTTTTGGTTCCTTTGCATTTTTGGTGAGTCGCTGCAACACACAAAGCTTTTGCTCAAAATGCCCAGGAAAGGTCCTTGCCCGGTTTTTTGGCTGACGCACGTTGGGTCTCAGCCTCCTCTTTTTCTGCCAACATGATTCTCAATCATGTGTAGTCCAGGAGGCTAGACCATTGCTTGGGCCGTTTTTGGAAAGTAGCCAAAGGACTTGGGACGGGAAGTCGACATCACATGGCCAGATTTTGGCCTCATCTTTTCAACCAACCCCCCCAAACTAACCCCCCAAACCAGCCCCCCAAACCAACCCCCGAAACCAACATTTGTCAATTATGTGGGTGCAAAAACGGCTTAGTGTGTTGTGGGTGACTCTGGGTTCTACAGTTTTAATTTTGGACCCATTGCGGTGTTTGTAACTTTGTTTGCAGGGGCTGTTTTCTGGGTTCTGGGAGGTTCTGTTCCAGGGTTGATACTCCTTGGTCTTTTCGGGCGAAGCCGAAAGGAAGGGAGGTTCCCTTTGGAGAACCCATTTGGTTTGGTGAGGACATTCTTTGCGTGGACCTGTTTTGAGGGGCATGATGGGCACACTGGGGGACTCCATTTATTCTCCCCGAAGAAAAGACAGGTGCATGCGGCCATCGGCGCATGCTTTCTGACTTGTCCGTTTGTGATTTTGGTGAGCGGTGCAAACGCTGCAGGAGGAAAAGGAACGAAACCTCATGAAGGTCGCTTACCATTTTCATATTTTGGGATTGCAAACATGGGGATGGCGACAGCTCTGGTTTGCAGGCCACATTCAAATCCAAGGGATGGAACACACAGCTTGAAAGCACCCCCTACCCCAAGGGGAGCTGTTCACACACGCCGAAAACGACCAGGTTGCTAGAAGCAAGGCGGGGGTACCCCCTATGGGAGTTCGAGCTTTCCCCAGCCTTCTGGCAGACGACTTGTTAAATGTTCTGCCCTCAGTTCAGCAACGCACCACTGCAATTGAAAATGGGCATGTGCAAAAATGGTGCTCTCCCTAAAAATGCCCATTAAAATGCCCTTCAGACCACTCCTTCAGACCCGCAAACACCTCCAGGCTCGGGAGTTTGCGGTCATGCCGATCGGCCGCTCGGCGGTGGCAAGTTCGGCCCGCGACGAAATCCGGGCGGCTCCCAGCCGTTCTCTTTAACTGGGGTCCCCAATTTTCCCCTTTTTAGCGGTTTTGAGCATCACCTTTTTGGCCCGTGAAAGGTGAGTGTCCCTTGCTGGCTTTCAGGTGAACCCCCCCCCCAAAGTGGCTTCGGTTTTCCTTCGGTTTTCCTCTTAGTTTATTTTTAACACGAGGGGTGAAATATGCAGCCATTTGGCGAGCCTTTTGTGGACATGTGAGGAAAACCAAGGCCACAAGGAAGTAGATCCATATATGAGGCCAGTAAACCTCAATTCCCCAACTGGTAGGAAAGAGGACCCAAATTCGCTACGCAAATGATGGGTCCATTCCAGAAACCAGTCTTCATTCGCCTTGGAAATGGCATTTCGGAAGCCGAAGCTTCAGGGAGCCTTCGAGTCGGTTTCGCTGCCTTGTGCAGCTTGACGGGGGAAACGCCGGCGTAGGGGGTTGGACTTTTCTCATTTCTTCGCCAGCAATAGATAGATAAAACCACGGGGAGATGATCGTGTGTTGTGTTCAAAAGGGAGACCAAAAGGAACACCACCATTTTGGAGTCCCAGGTCCCCCCCCTCAAAAAACAATCACAGAAAAGACCATTCTCACTGTGGCGACTCCAGGTTAGACCTGGCCATTTTTCCTGGTTCCCAGTAGGAAGCACCGGAGGCCCCGGCCCGACATGATTCTTTACAACGGGCGGGCAGGGGGAGGGGGGGTAGCTGGGGGTAAGTGGAAGCGCAGTATCTCAAACACCAGGTCCGGCAAAAGGAAACCAACTGAAGCACTGTGCTTCCTGCGCATGGACTCCCATCCAGCAGTTGAGAGCCCGTTTTGGCTTCCTTAGGGTTTCTATTGGTTCCTTAGCGAGCGTGGCCCATTAAGAGGGTTTCCTCCATTTCCTTGTTTTGAACCCACCAAAGGTGGCGATCAACTTCAATGGAGCCCAACAGTCACTTCATCAACGTCTGAATCCAGTCCCTGATGAATCCGAGGCAACCCCTACTGCTGGATCGCGGGCTTCTCCTACGAGCTGTGCTGCACTGGCCCAGGCGAGGCATTGGGTGGGCGACCAGGCTACTCCGCGAAGAAATGTGGGTCAGCAGGGCGGTTTTCCTTTTGGTCACCAACAAAAGGGCCGGTTGGCATGGTTTCAATTTGGAAGCCAAAGGACGTTCAATATTTTCTGGGGCTCCCCTATTTTAACACACACCCATATGCCTTCCATACGAGTCAATAGCCAAATCATATGTCAAGATTGGAGACTCAAGTTAAACAACACCAATCATGTTTGAGAGTAGGTCATTGTTGGTTGTGGTCTTCTGCACGTCTTCTGCACATCTCCCTCAGCTAATGTGGAGCCAGTACCCTACAGAACCCGGATTGATATAGACTTGCTGGTGCTCAGTAGGGCATTACCCAGGGCGTTGGGAATGAACCGGAAGGGGATTCCCTCAGAAACCATGCGACATGGTTTTTGGGGTCATTACATTTCTCATTCCCTGCCTATCGAACCAGAAGCAGATGCTTGTGGCCCAGAAAGTTTAAAATACGGCTCGCTGCCTTCTCGTAACCAAAACTCCTCCCATCCACTTGGCACCCACCAGACAAACCCGGTCCCTTTTGCAGGAAAATGGTCCAAACCAGGAACCCCCTTGTGAGATTCCATGTGTGTGTGTGGATGGGAGGGTACCGCATGGCATTTCAATCCCCCTCTGAAATCTCCAAGCCACCTTTCGAGACTTTGCAAGCGCAAGGCAGTGTTTTGCACGAAGCCCCCCTTTGAAATGGACCGGTTTCCTTTGATCGTTTTTTTTTTTTTTGTGGAATTTCCCCGTTCAATTGATGAATTCACTGGTGGTCTCCCTTGAAACTGCCACGACATGAAGGTTCCCGAAAGGGAAGTGGAGGAAACCCTGTCGACCCCAAAGGTTCCAACCCATGGTCCCCCACGGCTTTTGGATGCCATGTTTTCCTTTACGTCTGAGTTCTTGTTCAGGGAGCCAAGGGCAAGTGGCAAAGAATTACTGAAAGGGGCAGGGCACTTTGTAACTGATTTCCAATTGATTCCTTTCGTTTATCAGCATAGCAGGTAATCATCCATGTTCCTTTTGGTTGAAGGGTGGTTATCCACTACACAGGAAATTGAATCACTCAGATTGGCAACCATGGTTGTAACCCATTGTTCCTTTCGGTGGGAAATTCGCCCAAGGTTGCCAAACGCTTACCTGATGACTGGTTTTCAGAAGGCAATGAGGGAATGACTCCGACAAAAACCATCGCTTGTGGTTTCCTGTGAGGGGATCCCTTCTGGTTCATTCTCACCCCTCTCAAACGATTCCCTACTGAGAACCAGCAATAAAAGGACGCCAACCAATTCCACCCCCCCCCTTGAAACCTCAGGGAAGCGTGAGGCTCTTCATGAACGCCGAGTTCGGAATCCCAGTTACCCCTGAAGAATCCGCCCCTTTTCCCTTTGCGTAAGCTGATGGTTTGGGTTGCCTAGGTGGGAATCCGGCCTGCTGGGACGGTCACTTCACCTTCGAGCTTTGCTGCCACGAAAACGAAGGCGCTGAGACGAAGGCGCGAAGCGCGGCTGTGGCGCGCTACGTGCTGGAGAGTTCGGAGGAGTTGGAGCGAGTGGGGCTGTTCCGAGACTACGTGCCCCACAAGGAGCCGCTTGGGGCTTGGGGGGTGGGCTTGGAGGGGCCACAAGGCCTGCAAAAAGCAAATCCACAAGTTCCACAAGATGCTACAGCTAGGTGCCCTTTTACCCTATTTTGGTTGGGAGGGTTCCCCTACTAAAATAGGCTACAGAAAAAAAGGCTACCCTTATTCTAACCTCTCTACTGGAGGACCTAGGATGGGTCCAAGCAATATCTTGATTGCAGAACTGGGCGTCGAACTTCTCCTTTTCTCGGATGCCATAGGACTGCTGGGAGCCGCCAAACTACACCTTCGAGTTTTGCTGTGACCTCAAGCAAGGCCTCGGCGGGAAAAAAACAATTCGGCCGTTGGCCGTTGGCTGAAAGTGAATGGAAGGGAATGGTGTTATTTTGCAGTTGTTGAGCTTTGGTTTCAAGTTTCGAATGAAACAAGTGCTGAGTTTTTCAGTTGGTTCTTTTATTAGGCAGAATTTGAGCTCACTTATTTTTTTTGGGTGGTGTTCTTAAGAAGCTTTCTTGCTCTCTCGGAACGAGCGAATAACCCCGGCCAAAACCATCCCTGATACTTTGATGTTAGAGGATGCTAAGTTGTTCATTCCCAAAACCTGAGGGAAATTCCGTACTGAGGACCATAACAAAGAACGCCAACTAATTCCTCCTGAGGAGATTTCCCCCGTCGAAATCCTAGAGGACCCGAAGAAGAAGAAGAAGTTGGCAATGTTGACATCGCAGAAAAAAACGGATCTTCAATACTTAGCAGGGATGGCATCCAGCCTCTCGCATGGAGCGATTCCCCAGCCGGCGAACTACCCCTGATTTGTATTGTCAAGATTAATCCCTTCAGCTGACATTACGAATCTTGCGAGACGATTGATGGCAAGTGAGGGATTCCTAATTGGTTGGGCTGCTGTTTTTTGGTTCGGAGCAAGGCCTTGCAAAAAAGGAGGGCGCACAGGTCTTCTCCCAAACGATTCTAGAGTGACCTTGTTGGTTCCCAGGTTCGTTCCCAACACCCCGGGTCATTTTTTACTGAGCACCAGCAAGTTTATGGTAAACAAACAAAATCTGGAACAGAGTCAGAAGCGACATCTTGGCTTTGTTCACTTTTTTGCGGGCCAAGTTTTGTGGGAATTAAAGGGGCTTCCGCACTTTGTGCCTGAAGAGTTCCTTCCAATGACAACGGAAGCTTTAAAGGGGGCCCTTTCTCAGGAATCGTTTGAGGGATTTTGGGAATGAATCGCGAAGAGATCCACTTAAAGGAGCAAGCCTAGAACCAGGGTGACCCACTTGCTCAGTCGGTTGAACTTTGCGGGTCGGGCCCAATTTGAGTGGCAAACAATAAGTGCGGACTTTTTAAACGCACAGGGAGAAATCTGCGCGGTGCAGTAGAGGGAGGCTCCCGTTTTTGCGCCTTAAACATCACCACCAAGCGGACACCTTCTTCAATTCGTCAACCAAAAGGTGATAATTGCTTCAGCCCAAGACAAATGGCCGCATTTTCGTTGTTTTGTTCCCCGTCTTGCGTTGGTTTAGGGACTTTTCCGCGGTGTTTGCACCCATTTGGTTTTCTTTTCTCTATGACACAAGCCCCACATTTTCCATGGGCCCGAGCTTGGGCCGGGTGGTGGCCGGAAGGCTTGCGGGGCCGCAGCGTGTGCTGGGACGGCTGGCGCCTGACCTTTGAGCGCTGCTGCTTCCGGGGGCTGAAAGGCGAAGAAGGCGAAGGTCTGGAAGGAGGCAGGGAGTTTTTTTTTGGGGGGCAAGGAGGGTTTGGGGGTTTGGGTGGGTGACTTCCCTGTCCTTGTTTTTTTTTTTAGTCGCTTAATGTGCGATTTTGTAGTTTTCTGCAGTTTGGTTGTTTGGTTGTTCATTTTGAGTGGGTGACTGCAAACAGCAACAGCTGTTTGACCACATGCTAAAATCGCGGGAATTGCCTTTCCCCTGTGATATCAATGGAAGACGTTCTGACGACGGATTCTCCATTTGGCTGTGGGTCAAAAACAGCTATCCAAAATAGGTTGCCCTGGTAAATGTAATCATGGATTAAAACCTGCAGTCCATATCCTGGGTGGTTTCGTGTTCACCCATTTCAAGGGGGAGGTTCCCACTCAAGCCAGGCTGCCAGGACCCCCAATTTAAAACACAGCGGCCATTTTCAACATCACTTGAAGTTGACGTGCCACGAACACGCAAGCCACAATCAAAACCCGGGTAGATGAAGGTTAGTACGGGACAATCCCAGCCATAAATAGCTTCGGCCGCCTTCTTAATTCTTCACATGGCTCTGGGTAGACCGTTTTAATACCGGGTTTTGATTGTGGCTCACTTAGAATTATGCCAAAGACTCCGAAAAACGGCGGCGCTTCCTTTCCGCCGCCCGACGTTCCCAGCAGAAGCTCTCGTCGCCAGCGCCAGGCGACGATCTTCCGGAGGCGCCCGACCTCCAGGCGGAGGTGAGGAGGGGGGCGGGCACGTAGTTTGTTCCATTGGAAGGAGGTAATGTTGACCCCGGATTAATATGGCTGTGGGTCAAAAATAGACCCAAATTGGAACCTTGGTGAATGGAGCCAAGGACTAAAACCTGCGGTCCCCTGGTGGTTGAATTTGACCCATACCCATATCCCCCAGTATATTGAGTGGATATTAATAAGGGGGGTTGGGGCCCCTCCAAAAGTGCCCAGGGACACCCCCAATTTTTTAGACAGGGGTTGATGCATATAGGGTCAACAGCATGGGTGACAATTAAACCACTGGGATATGGACTGCAGGTTTTAGCCCTTTCCAAGGGCAACCTATTTTGGGTACTTATATTTGACAACCACACACACATGTGTGTTCGAGTTTGTTGGTTTGACTGCATCCTTCTCGAACGGGACTTTCCGTTTGACTGCATTTTCAGATCTATTGGCCATATCATCAGTCTAACTACTGTTGTTTGGAGGACCCACTTGTTAACTACACCGTTGCGGCGGGGGGGGGGAGAACACAACCAAATTGTTTGTGGCCGATGATTGATTTGGGGATGATGGGCAGGTGCAACCTCGAGTTCCACTGGAACCCCCGAATTTTCATGTGCATTGAAGTTGGACAATCAGGGGCCTTCCCAAAGCGGTGGTTGCGGTCTTGCGAAGAAAGCCTTTGCCCCTGTCTCCCAAAAGGACACAAAGCATTTTCAACCAACGGGGCGCACACCAACCATTGGGACCTGGGGTGACTCGCCAACTTCCCACCGTTGAGTGTTGACCGTGGCTCTGGCGCGATCGATGCAGGAGTTAATGCCGCTGGGCGCTGAGTGTTGGAAGGAAGGCTACAGCTACCGGGCCTGCTGTCGAGTCGAGGGAGCCGAGGACTGCGGGAGCGTTGGTGCGTCGGTACTTGGACCCCTGCCCACTGGCGGAACATTTGGATCAACCGCCACTAAAACGGTCGTCCAAATTGTGGTGACGGTTTGGTGCTTGGAGGCTATTCAGGGTCCAAATGCTGTTTAGTTGTTTGCGGCTAGTTGGGGTGTATGTTCCTTTTTGCTTTGTATTTGTTTAGTTGTTTACTGTTTGGTGGTCCAGTTTATACCCCTTTGCCCATTTTGGTGGCTTTAAGCATCACTAACATTCTGAAGTGTGGTCCTAGGGTGATGTGGAAAGGGGGGAGTAGAACTAGAGGAATTTCCTTTTGGGACCTGGACACCTCTGTTAGGTTCCATCTTAATCAAGCCAGACTCGCCTTGTCTGGTCTCCTTCACTATCCCTTTCAACCAGGAAGTTGCTTGCTTTGGGGCACGGTTTGGAGTGCATCCACGCATCCATGCATCCATCCATACATAAATACATATATATATATATATGTACATACACACACGCATACATTTTTTGTGATGTATATATAAGTACAGATATGTATATATATTTATCTACATATAATTCATCTATAGATATACATATGCACATATATATATATATATATATATAGAGAGAGAGAGAGAGAGAGAGAGAGGGAGAGAGAGGGGGGGAGAGACATACGTACAGACAGGCCCATTTGGGGTGTCATTCCAGGAGCCCCAGAGCTGCTGGGATGCCCTGCATACTGAACTCCGCTGCTGCCAAGGTTTGGCGCCCCGGAAGCGAAATTTCCCCCGTGGATCCCATGGCATGTCTTTTTCTTGTTTGTGCCCTTCTTCGGGTCCCTTGAGGTGACCGGAGCCTCAACTCCGTGGAGAAATCACTTGCTGCGATAAGTGGAATGAACCTGGAGATTCCCTGAGATACCAGAGGTGGTTTTGCTCGCGGTCATTCCATTTCTCATTCCCGGCTGAGCCAGCAAGTTTTCCCCAAACGCCCATGTAGAACCTATGGGCTTTTCCGAAGTTTTGCCACTTGAGCTTTGTGTGTTTCAATGTTTCTTTCTAAAACTTTGGGTTTCAGCGTTTATTCATTATTATTCTTATTCTTCCCCAAGCAGCATACAGTGTGTCTACACTAGTTCGATCATGGACCCCATATTAATCAACCCCAGTTGATTACGAGGGGGTGTTTCCCTCCAAAACTGATGATTCCCCACTAACAACCGCAAATTAATAAAAAAGGGGTTGACTTTTTTGGGGTCAACGTGACTTTGTTTAGGCCGGGCGTTTCGTTTACGCAGGCTCGCGCAAAAGTTCTCTTGTGACATGCTCACGCTCTTTTGGCGCCATGCGGCGCAATGCGATTTTCTAACATCTAAATCAGCCCTTTGCGGACTGTGGGTGCGTAAAAACCGCTGTCGCTGTGGCGCGGTGCGCATTTTGAGCATCGGACGTGAACCCTCTGCAGACTTCGGTTGTGCTGAGTCTCTGTCTGTGGCACGGGGCGCTGTGAACACGTGCGGACTTTGGTGGGTCGGATTGCCTTGCTGTGGCGCGGTGGATCCTCTCGTGGATCCTGCACACAAATCTAATCAAGAGATCCTATCAAGAGATCCTGCACACAGATCTTGTCAAGAGATGCATCAAGAGATCTTAAAACCGTCCCCAAGATATCCCGCGCTAGTCCTTCACAGGATCCTCTCAAGAGGTCTTTTTCCTTCCAAGCGATCTTGTCGAGGACGCCCCCCCGGATCTTGAGCTTGTTTGATGCGCAAACAGGCCCTGCTAGGAGATCTTGCGCAAACGCCCATAGATATTCTCTGGGCCGTTGTAGAGAAAAGAATCCTCTCAAGAGGTCTCCTGCAGATCCTCTGAACCCAAATCTTGCCAAGAGATCCTGTCCAGAGTTCCTGCGCGCAGACATTGCCAAGAAGAGATCTTGCGCAGACATCCTGTAAAAGCCCAAGGATATCTCGCGCTGGTGCTTCACAGAGACAGCGTTTGCTGCTTCGTACCCTTCGCCTCCCACATGATCCGCCTTCTCGGTTGCTTCGTTCTGTTGCGTCGATCTTGTTGGGGGCGGGGGGATGGACTGAGCGTATCAATGTTGACCCGCAACTCATGGCGGGTTGCTCACCATCGGGCACACCTCGGCATATTATTACGAGCTGCTCGTGAGGCCGTCTGGCTGGATCAGCTGAGTATCCATGGCATTATGCTCCGCCTTTCCCGCGTGTGGCGGATTGATGTGCAGGCGGCAGGCGGTCTGGGCACGATCCTTGGCTGCGTTCGGCTCTGGCATTGAAAGTCATTTTTTTCTGGCGACACTATCCCCACCACGCCAACCAACCGCCAACCAAACAAGAAGTCTTGCAGGACTTCCAGAGACTTCCTAACAAGCACAAGCATCTTGCACCTGACCGTCGAGACTACCTCGTCACAGATCTTGCGAAGACCCTGCAAAGATTTCATGTCGAGAGATCTTGTGAATGTTCGCTACAAACCTCGAACAGAGAACTTGTAGAGAGGATTCTTTCGGACACCCAGCGCACAGATCATGCCAGGAGATCCTATCCAGAGATCCTGCGAAATCCTTTCAGAGAGATCTTGTCCAGGACTTTCCACAGGAATGCTAGTAGAATGGTTTTTGCAGGTAAAACTTGCGCGGCTGAGTCCGCAGGATCTTCCTTTCACCAGGCTTCTGATTGAAGAGCGTGCTCTTGGCCTTGTATTGCAACCTTTTCTGGTTGCTTCAGGAAGTTCTGCGCAGCAACAGGCGAGCATCTGCTGCGGCTACTTTCATGTTACCTGCGTGGATTCCTGTTTTCCAATGTTCTCTAATCCTAGGTGACCGCTGTTCGGGGTCGCTTGCAGGACAAGAAAGAGGAGACCCAAAATGGCTCTAGTTTTCCCTTTGGTTTCCCTTTAAACCACAAAAATGGGGTTAGCAGGTAACAAACCAGAATTTCAAAAAGGATAATGGCTGGTTACCTGCCATAGGGGGAACTGGAACCCACTGTGCCGAGCAACATGGATCCTAAAAACGGTTTCATGAGATGAGGATCATGCAAATAAGATTGCCCTTGGTTGGTGGTTTGGATTTGTGGGGGGTTTGTGAACTCCTGGCTCTTGTAGAGAGTAAACGGGACGCGCCCCTCAACCTCCAAACCACCAAGCCAAATCCGCGTGAGGGGGACTGCCAATCAGAGGAATCGTTTTGACAGGCTTCACGCTCATGCTTAGAACCGGGGGACCCCTTGCCACCGCATCGATTGTGTTGTGTTTTTTTTTTTTTTGCGGGGGGGGGTCCCAGGTTTATGTTGAGGATGTCCAATTTCAGTGTTGATCTCTGGCTTTTGTACAAATCGCCGGATCTAGTAGACCTCAGGGCCTCAGTCAATGGGGCGGGTGTTTCAAGATTTTTGGAACCATTGCAATGGGGGTGGTTTCGTTTATTTTATTTTATTTTTTTGGGGGGGGGGGCGAAGGGTGAACGTAGATTGCCCAATCTTGGTCACTCGTCATTTTACCACATGCGTTCACCCAACTGTACCTCTTCATTTGCTTGAATATTTTTCATGTTCCCCTATTTTTGAACTGAACTCTGTCGCTGAGCATCTGTGGATTTTTTCTCAGGGGCCAAACAAAACCCTAGCATCTTCTTGGGTTCTAAGGGGAAGTCGCTACTGAAGATGTGGCTGTGGATCAAAAAACCGGTACCAAAATGGAACCCTGGTAAGTGGAAACATGGACCAAAACCCGCGAAACCCCTCCTGTTTAATTTGGAGCCACAGCCATGTGTTGGCTGGCTTTTTGCCCAGGGGCCCAAGAAAAACGCGCCCCAGGCGGCGCCTGCGCAGCGCTGGCGCCCAGTGCCCAAAAGCTCCAAGGCGGCGCAGTGCCTCGACGCGGTGCACGGGAGGCGGGCAAAAGGACGCTGGGCAACAGGATGCTACCCCCCAACCCCCACCTCCATTTGCTGAAGACTATTTTTATGCCCTGCTGGTTTTAAAGTGAAGCTATCACTACTGGACATGTATGGGTTTTTTCCTTGGCTGAAGCAAATGGAAGCTCAGGTTTCCCCCCAATGGCACGGGGTTTTTTGAGGGGCTGCCCATTTTCGTTTCGACAGGGAGCCGGGAAAGCCAGAATGTTTGAGGTCACCCCTATTTTGACACACACACACACACACATTCATGTGCATAGGGGCAGGTGAATCTTTTTTCGATGTCGCCCGTGTTGTTTGATGGCTTTCAAGGAAGGATCGCCTACCATTCCGAGACCTTTGATGTTCAACCTTTACCATTCCGTCTCACTACCCCCGGAATACCCAAGTAAGCTTGCAAAGTGGGTGTGGCTCAAAGTGTTCATGAGAGCTCGGGCAAACTGCAGGTTTTTGTTGTTTCCATTTCCCATGCCGGGTTTGCCCCCATGATTTTTCGCTGGAGTCCTGCCCGGTACTTGAGCCCACTGCCAGGCAAAAGTCCCGTTTTCACCTATGGGCCGTTTGGGTTTTGCCATTTAAACTTTGGGTTTCTATGTTTTGTTTCCAAGGTGTTTGCTCGTTGTTTGTATTATTCAGTTTGGGTTTCTTTTTTTGTAATTCTTCGGGTTTCGGCGCGTTGTTATGCTGAAACTGCTGGTTTCAACTGCTTATCTCTCTTTGTTCACCGTTTAACTTCACCGTCTTAACTGGCCCCTTTCAAGCCGCAAAAACCGTCCAGACGCCTGGCCTTCCGACTCGCTGCCGCGACGCTCGACGCGCAGGCCACTGGACCTCGGTGTGAAGAGTTGTGGGTCGGGGCGGTACTTCCACCTGGCCACCCTGGGGAAGTTGCGGCTCAGGACGTCCCGCGAAATCGAACTCCGCGCGCGGTTTTCCGGCAATCGGAAAGAGGACAGGTGTTTATGTTCTTAGGTTTGCCTTTGTCTGACTTACGCCCCCTCCATTTGGATTTGGGGCCGTAAGACAAAGAGATCTCCTTTCGTGCATGGTTGTTGAGGGAAACTAAGACAAAACAACCATTGTTGGGGATCCCAAATTTTGAGAAGCGCCTGCAGCCGCCTCAATTTGGTTTCACTGCCCCCCTTGCATAACACCCCCCCCTCCTCCGCCTTTGGTCTCTCCCCTTTTTCCCAAGCATAAGACCCTTTTAAGGACCTACTAAGCCCTTTTGGCAGGGCAGGGGGTTGGTTGTTCCTTTCTTTCCAGCTGTTTTGCCTAGTTCGTGGTTTGGATTGGTCTGGATTTGGATTTGAACGGGTTCCTGGCTTTCGTAGAGGGTACATGGAAACGACCCTTCACCGACTCCCATTTCACGCGACGGAGCTTTGCTTTGACTCCATCTTGCACCTTTCAAGCTTTCTGTCCGACCCTAAAAGGTGCTTCTGCTTCTCAAGCCTCAGCTTTTCGTTTCGCCATGCTTCTTGGTCCACGGCTTTCGTATCTTTCAGACTCCCTCCGGTCTTCTGCAACCTTCGCAGTAGGCAACCGCCCCTTCAGGGTTTCCCGATGGTTCACTTCAAAGGGTGGTCTCAAACATCTTTTCACATACCCCTTAGCTGGTGGTTTGTTTGGATTGGTGGTTTGGTGGTTAGAGGTGGTTTCCCATTCAACCTCTACAAGAAGAAAGAAGCACGGGTTCAAGTCCTCAAACCACCTATCCGAAAGCAACTAACTTTTGAAAGGGCAAGATGAGAAACAGCTCGACATTGGTCCCCTTTGGTGGCTGATGTCCGTTCCCTCGATTACCTGCTTTGCAGCTAAAATCAAGAGAAATACGGAGAAGCTCTGTTATTGGTCGGTTGAGAAGTAGAGGGGCCAGGAAAAGCAGCCCCAGCATCGCACATATATTTGTCCCAATACACGGACATTTGGGGCAAAAATGCGGTGATCGATTCTTTAAGGGAACGACTGCGTCACGGAGCACGGTACCTGGTAGTTGAACGGTTCGCAACCATGGGGACATTACTCCCCCGCAGAAAGAATCAAGAGACTTACGGCCATAGGTGTCCTTTTTGGTTGATTTGGTTGAAAAATAGAGGGCCCTGGTTTACCTGGTGGTTCAATCGACTAATTACCAGGGCCACCTATGCTTACAGCCATGACGAAGTGCCGGGTCAATTGCCCAAGGTTGCCAACCACTTACGGCAAGAGTCTGCACGTGTCTGCACCAAATAGACGAAACCACACTGCTGGCTTATCAGCCACCTACCAACTGCGCGGTGTGGATTGTGTTCATCCACACTATGGGGAGATATTCTTTAGGGAAAGTATGAGTTGCCTTTGAGGGTGATGTTTGCAGGTTGGACATATATGTTCCAGTTCTCAAACTTGGGACCCCTCCAGGTGGTTTGAAGTGACTTCCCTTCAAAACCATCCAAAAAGGGACCCCTAGTTTGAGACACACACACACATGTATATATATATATATTGGTTGACCCGTTCAATGGGCTTGATCACAAAGAAGCGATTCGCACATGTTTGTCCATCCGAACCTGTGCATTTGAACCTGTTCGTCCCCCAATATGGATGTGTTTTTTTTCCTTAGCGTAGCAATTTGGGGCGGCTACGAATTGAAACCCGAAGGAGCCACGAACAGTTGGCGGGCCCCCTAGGTAAAGACACACCATGGCCGTGAGTCTTAAGAGTTGGAACCAAGTCTCACCCAAGTCATACCCACCAAAGGGTCAATGCCTTTCCGTGTGTGTCCAATTTTTTGAGTTGGTACCCTTTTTGGGCTTGGTTTCAAGGGACACCAACAGGAAACCACGAAGATTTTGGTGGTTCCCTTCTATCTTGAGACAAAGCCATAGGACCCCTCTGTTCTAGGCACACCTTGCCCATTCTTTCCAGGGATCCTTCTTTCCAGAAAACCATCGGAAACCCAGGGAAAATGGCTCCGGTTTTCGAAAAGATTAATTGCCGCACCGAATGTTTGAAAGAATCAACCTCCAGAAAGCATATTTAAAAAGGATGGGTTTTGAAAAGAACGATGGTCAAAGGGAATGGTTGGAATCAACCCCTAGATCTGTCCTCTCAGGAATTTGCCTTCTATCTTAAGACAAACAAACCCACCCACTTCACTGGTTTTTCCATCTTGAGACAACCCCACCAGAGGATTTCGGTCCTCTCCAGGAAGGACTTCTGGGCCACGGCCGTGCCGTGGTTCCTGGCGCCGCGCTTCAACACCTCCGCCTGGGCGAGGCACGTGGCGAGCTTCGGGCCGACCGGCGTGCACGAGCACCAGGCGGGGGCACGTCTCCCGAATGACATAGGGCAACCCACTCCCAAAGAAAGATGCGGGGCCCAAGAAGCCAACCAAAAACCCGGCGGTTTTGTAGAGGAGACGGCTTTTGGGAACTGGACCCCCCGTTTATGTTTGTAGACCCCTGGTTTTAGCAATGTTTCTCGAAAGGACTGGTCAACCGAAGCGGATATGGTAGGGAAACCGACAGGAAGCCACAGATTTTGGGGGGACTATTTTGAGTCATTCCATGGAACCTAACAGCGATCCCCCGCAAAATGTTCAGGTTCCTTGCGATCGTTTTGGGAGGCAGCCTAAGAATCCCGGTGGCTTCCAACCGAATTCTCATTTTTGCTTTGCTTTGGAAGGGTTTGGCTTGGTTTTGTCCACCGACAAGAAAGGGCCTTTCTTTTCATGGCTGGTTGCAGCTTCTGAGTTTTCAGGGTTGCTCCGAAGAACAAACGCGGCACATGCCGTCGACACAGAAACACAAGAAGCGGCCCAGCTGCGTTTTTTGAGCTGGCGCGTCAACATGGAAGCCAAAAAGTGCCATAAAAGGAGTGTCTCTCTAAAGAAACTATGGGTTTTCAGGTTCCATGTGCGTGGCTCGTCTGTTTGTAGGAATCGGACCCCCAATGGCTTCGGGTTATCTTTTGGTTTCCCACTAACACGCCATGAACATGTGGTAGCACTAAAAAAAGACGCACTCATTTGGCTGTGGCTCAAAAAATCGTATCCCCCAAATGGTGCAACAAATGGAAACAACGACCAAGACCCGCGGTTTGCCTTCGCTCTGGAATTTTCAGCACCCACTTAGTCTGCGGGAGGGGCCTGTCGCAGGCTCATAGAAACCACTTGGCCGTTCTTCACGCTGGGTTGGGCAAGAAACCACACGGCGTTTCGTCTTGACCCCCTGGTATAGCTAGCTATACGTATAATTTCTGTATACATACAAATAAATGAATATATATATATATATATTTCTGTATATATTCCTTGCAAGCACCCGGACTCTTCCTCGCAGGGCCTCTGGAAAATACGAGACAAACGGCGTGGTGCTTCTATCTGACCTTGCAGGGTGCTCAGTTGTCCTTCAGAAGAGATGGAGCCCAAGGTTCGTGCTCGACCCCTCTCTTGCCAAGATCTGTGGGTTTGTCCTCCCTCTGGATGTTCCAACTCCTTACATAGGCTGTAAACATGGTTAGTTCTGAACCAACCCCGTTGTCCAAGTCTTAAACCTGAGTATAACCTACTTAAGTAGGTTGAAGATCCAAGTACACGTGTTCCGCACTTTCCCAAAACCACATTGGTTAATTGTCCATGCTGATTTTGCTCCGCAACCGCCAAAACTGTTTGTTTTCCTTTGGCTTCGCTTCAATCCAACCACCAGGGTACACCCCAGTAGCAGGCAGCCCTTCATTGGTGGTTTGGGGATTTGAACTGGTGCTTGTAGAGGGTAGATACCGCACCCGGAACACCTTCAAACCAGGCTCCAAACCACCAAGAGGGAAGTCTAAAGTAGGGCAAAACAACCACCCACTCCCTCCCTGAGTTTTTGGACTTAAAAAGAACTTGTTCGTGAAGGCGATTTTAGTGGCAAATTTACAGTTTGGACATTTTTTTCGGGCAAAGCCACTCAGAAAGTGAGCCCCAAGTAGGCGACAAACTTTCCCAAGTTGGCGACGAACTTTCGACGTCTTATTCGATCCAGGATTCACTTCGCAAGATCAACAGGGTTCCCCCAAACGAGTCAAGATAATGTTTAAAACCACCAAAAAGGGGGATCTAGGAACTTTTGATCAGCTTGACATGAGGTCATCATGTTGACTCAGCAAATGGTCACTCCCAAAAACTTGACTTCCATTCATAGGTGTCCTTCTTGGTTGTTGTGGTCGAAAAATAGATGGCTTTCGATTCCTGGTTTACTTGGTGGTTTTTGCTCATCTACCAGATGGAATTCCGTCTATTTCCAACTATGAGCAGGTCGCTAGTGAGGAAGAAACCTTCCCACCCTGGCTTGTTCCTTTCCCCTAGCCCACCCTGCCTATGCTTCCATTGGATTTCAGGTGGTGGGCGGGCTGTGCCTGCCCAGCTTCTGCGAGCCAGAGACGGTGGGCGCCTATGTGGCGCCGCGAGTGAACCCCTGGCGCCTGGGCCAAGATTCAAGCCGCACGGGCGAGGCATTCTGATTCCGTGGGCCGAGTTGGCTGTGGGTCAAAACCCAGGAAACCCCTGGTGAACATCAAAATAGGTTGCAAATGGATGTTCATCCACCTCAAAATGGAGCCATAGGTTATGCCATGGGGCAGTTTCTTTTTGTTTTTTTTGGGGGGAACCCCCTTTGGGTTGACTTTCTGGAAACCAACAGGAGACCATTTTGGGGTCCCAACATGTTGGGAGACAAATATCAAGTGGCAGGTAGGCTGGCGCAAATAATAGCCTGGTGACCAACAACTTACTTACCACACCTCGCCCCTTCAAAGTACGAGAGTTTACAAGGGAAGCCAAAGCAAAACACACCATTTTGAGGGTTGCGCCACCTCCCCTGTATGGGTGTGTCTTTCTTTGAGGGTACTTTTTTTTTGCGGTTTGAAAGGACGACCACAAGCAAAACCGTGTTTGGGGGCCCACACAAAAGAGACACCCTTAGAAGCATGGTTATGAGTTGGGATAATGGTTGTGATACATTCACATATATATATATACATATATATACATATATATGTTATGTATATATATATACACACATACCTACACAAATACATATGTACATGCAAACACATTCACCAGTGCATATAGATACGTGACACACACACACACACACAACTTTCTACAAATCACACATAGGCAAACGTGCGTTATTCACACACAGAGAGACACACGAAGACACGAAGACGCGCACCAGGTGGCGCTTCCCTCGGGCGCGGGCTCTTCCGCTGAACGCCAGCCACGTGCTGCTGCCGCCGCCGCTCGCGCGGCCGCAGCAGCTCATCAGAAGCCACGGGTTTCTGCCGACGCCCGGTGAAGAGTGGGGGGGGTTTGGTTGCCATTTTGGTGGGAAACGAAAAGTTTAGATACTTTTTGGCCCTACTCCATGAGGGGTTTGGTTGCCATTTTGGTGGTCAACGAGATGTTTAGATACTTTTGGGCCCAATCATCTCGATCGCACGTGAGGGGGAGGAGCGCCATGGCTGGCCGTCAATAGTCGCGAATAGTCACCTGGTTTAGAAGTACATTTCGCCTAGTTGATGCACTGCGCGGTCCTTTTTCCTTTTAGATCCAAATTCTTACTGGGCGACCCCAGTTGGTCAAAGCAAGGTGGTGGTACGTATGGCTCAAATTTTGGTGTACGACCTCAAGGGTACGGGGTAGGATACGTGGTTCAGTCCTTGAAACTACCACTTTTGCAGGTTCTGAAAAGGGTATTGGAGGAAGCCCTGATACAGCGAGTCATGATTAAGAGTGACCATAGGCAAATAACGCACTGAATCGGGAAATACAACCACGGCGAACTGGTGGGTGTTTGTACCGTGGAACGGAGCCCACCCGTCAATTGCAACTTTTGGAGGCAACGTACAGTGACCCCTGTATATTTCCAACAAACATTTCAGCATGTGGGTTTCGAACAATTGGAATCACTTCAGTTGGTTGGGTGGTCGGGTGGTCGGGTGGTCGGGTGGTCGGGTGGTCGGGTGGTCGGTTGGTTGGGTGGTTGGGTGGTTGGGTGGTTGGGTGGGGCTGCGTGGGCCTTGGGTGGGGCTTGGGTGTGGCTTGCGTGTGTGCGCGTGTGTGTGTGTATATATATATATACACATATATATATATATATATATGTATGTGTGTGTGTGTGTCGCAATTAGCAGGCTTTCTGCGAACCTTGAAAGATGAACAACCCCAAAGGGTAGACAATTGGTTGTTTCGCTCTGTTTCTTTTTGCTGGGGGCCGAGGTTCTACCCTTCAGGCGGTTCGTTTCCGTTCGGTTTTTCATTCACACCATCCCTTTTTTGAGCAACAGCCCCACATCTACTGGCATTTGGTACTGTAGCAAGGGAGGACGGTCATCCTAACAACATCATCACACCAAAATCCAATCTCAGCAGGGGCCCCATACCATTTGATCAATCCATCAGCCTTGAGCAGGGCATGCCAGATTTCGATCCTTTGCCACGGGATCAAACAGGGCTTCCTCCATTTCCCCTTTTGGAGCCTCCAAAGTGGCAGTCTTGGTGGAACCACCAGTCAATTGATCAACTTTTGATTGGGAGCTCTGGCCCAAAATGGGGAGCGGGGGTTGCCGCAGCCTTGCGGCTTCTCTTTCCAAGCTGAAGAGGATACAACACAACACCCACGCGAGATGTGGCATCACCGGGCCTCACGTATCGATTTGGGTGTGTCTCAAAGGAAGTCGGACTCCCTTAAATGGTTGGATCCCTGTTTTTTCCTCAAGCCAGAATGAAACAAAACGCCAGGGCAACCCCTCAAAATGATACTAAAGCCGTGGTTGGATGGGCGTCCAACTTTGGTGTCTCGACGATTGACACCTGAAGGTTTGTCAAAAGTAGGGGCCTGTTTGGTATCCCCGTTTCTTTGGCCCAAGGCGGCACCAGGTCCCAAAAAGGGTCCATCTTTTTGACACACCCTCTCACCGAGGATGTGGGTCTCAAAAAGCTCGTGCCTGGCGTTGGTCAACAACTCCTTCTGCGACGCCGCACGTCTAACTCGTCGCGTAATCTACTTGGATGGGTTGGCTGAAATGAATATGTTTTATTTTCCCTTGTTGGTTTTAAAGGGAATCTATCGCTACCGGACTTTCTTTTTCCTGGCGACTTAAGCACATGGAACCTCCCCAAACAAAAATACAACAACCCCAGCCCATTTGGGTGTCTTTTTCTAAGGGACCCCGAAAATGGCGGTTTTCCTTTTGGTTTCCCTTTAAAACCGACCAACAAGGGGTACGCTCAGCAACAGACACACTGATTTCTTCGGGAAGCATTTCAGGCCTGCGAAGTGTGCCCAGTGATCCCAGTTTCCACTGTAGGTCCCCAAGAAGTTTCCCACTCGAAATTAAAAAGACAGAAGCAACACGGACCGAAGGGTTGCCTCTTATAGTGGCAAGGTCCCCCAGCTAGGTGCCCTTTTTAACCCCTTTTTTGGTTGGGAGGGTTCCCCTACTAAAATCGACTGCAGCAAAAATGGTACCCAAATTCTAACCTCTCCACTGGAGGACCTAGGTGGCGAAGTCCGGATTCCGAGGATCCACCCTGGTGCTCACCTACTTGGGGGATCGTTCCTGGGTTGCTGGGTCGAAGGCGCCTCAAACAAAACGAGGGCACCAAAGCGCGTCTTGTGCGTGCAGTTACCATACCAAGAGGTAACACCATAAAACCAAGAGAGGCACTGGGGCCTGACAGGAAATCGAGTTGGCCCAAAAGGGACTTCCTACGTAGTCAAGGGGAAACCACCTGAAGCCCCCACGGACAGGGACCTGTTTTCTGCCTTCCTGGTCCATGGGACGCCGCCGCAAACACCGTGCCATTGTAGCCCCACCTTTTGAGCTTCTTTTGAAACCAACCTAACCGTCCAAACCGGGCTCCGCTCCCCGCCAAATGGGTATGGGTCAAGGTTAAATCGCCAGGTCTGGACCGCAGGCTTTAGTCTTTGTCTTCATTCTCCAGGCCACCCCACTGCCAAATTTAGGGCTTCTTCTGCGTATACCTATTGACCCACAGCCTAATTTAGGGGCCGAGCTGAGTTCAACTCGCGGAAAATCTCCGAGGAGTTCTGGCAGTTCGCGGTCTCGGAGCGGCGGCGCTTCGCCTGGGACGTGCCTGTTGCGCTGGCGCTGGTGCTGCTGGTGGTGCGCCTGAAAATCCCCGCGAGTTGGGCGCAGAGGCCAGTTGGGTTTTGGAGAGGAGGGAGCCAGGCGGAATTCACACTGGGATCAAGAACCCGTCCCCTCCAAAAGTGACTAGACACCCCCGTATTAGTCCAGCAGGGGTTTATTCATCCAGGTTTAACATTAACGGGGGCATTGCTTCCCGAATCGAACTGGCGAGAATCAGATTCAGTGGGACCATTTTGAGGTGCGTTTCCTATTCTTTGCAACACTAGAAGAGATGCACTGCAAAGTATGTTATAACGAGGATATCCGTGTGCAAGCAGGGTGACAAGGTGCAGGTGATGTTAATGATGCTGACGATGCTGGTAGTGCCGGCGATGCTGGTAATGCTGGTGATGCTGGTGACGTTGGTGGGCCAGGGCTGCATTGGGGACCTCTTCTGATTGGAACATTGACTCGGAACCGACCTGACGCTTGGAAGGCCTTCCGGAAGCCGACCTGACGCGCTGCGCGTGCTTCTGACGGCGGCGGAGCGGGCCCAAGAGAAGTTCGAGCCGAACCTCGGGGGTCTCAAGCGTTGTCGTTGGGCAAACCAATTTAGAGATAAACACACAAACATATCACGCTGCTCACTTTGGCAGGAGGTTTTCCCCATTCAGCAGAAGCTTGTTCAAATCTTGCAGGTCAACCAGCCGTCAGCCGTATGGTACTTTGGGAAGAATAGGAGGGGGGTGATTTTCAAGGGGACGACCCCATGAAGACGTGGGCCTTATCCGTTGGGCCCTACCCTCTGTTGATTTCGGATCTAAGTGGAACCCGTCCTATTAGGGTGCTTCCAAAAGTGGTTTGAATCCAACCACTGGTTGGAGGGGTCGCTCCTCCCATCAAACTCAACCAGGGGTTAAACAAATGTCTTGTCTTCCAGGACCCAGGTTTGATCGCTTTTCCAAGTTCCGTGCCGTGTCTCACTGATTCGGCGTGGCTCTTTGCGGATTTTGTGGAACACCAAAGAAGGACTCAAGCTTGGGGGGCTCCACTGGGTTTGACAGCCAAAATGGATCCAGCCCGAGCCGAGGCAGTTTGGACTCACACCTTCAGCCACGGCAGCTGGCTACCAGCGGAGCGGAAGCAGCTGGGCGCCTGGTTCTTCTCCAAGGACTTGACCTACAAGGCCGGAAGGGCCTCCATTTGCTGAAGATCGTTTTTTTTTTTTTTTAGAATGTTAATCCCTTGTTGGTCTTTTAAGGAGTTTATCACTGCTGGAAATATTTGTTTTTTTTTTTCCTGGAGCCTTAACCAAATGGGTCAAAACCTTTTTGGGATCCCATTTTGGGGTAGGTGAATTCACCACCCAAATTTTAGAACCTATATTTTAGTGGGGATATTGGATGTTCACCGGGGGTACGGGATTTTGACCCATGGCCAAATGACAAAGGACATCCACACGACAACGGCCATTTTCTGATGAAATTTGCAAGTGGCCGCATGGGACCCAACATGTCCACCAGAACTCAGTGGCAGAAGTACCTCCAGGAAGCGGCCGCTTCGATGGAAAAACGGAAGTTGATTTGGGGAAATCCAGTGACCCCTGGCTTTCCTTCTTCCATTGCGGGAGCATGTTTGGATGGCAGAGTGCGCTCCTCTTTGGTCCGCTGAAATCGCCGCAAAGGCGCCAAACATTTTTTTTTGGGGGGGAAGCCCAGGGTTTCGAGTGGAAGTGGTGGTATATGTTGACCCCCTTTTGGACGGTTTAAAGGGGCAGCCCCCAAACAAACCCAACCATTTTCTGGGCCCGTGGTCCCCTTTCTTCAGACAAACCCAGATACTTTGGACCGGAATCTGAGCATCTGATGTTTGCCAATAAAGGTGGGAAAAGGGGTAGGGCTATGTACCAACCTAGACAGTTGGGGGCTGTTGAAACCCGGAAAGGTGGGAGCGGAGCTTAGTGGGGGCGGTCTCCCGTAATAAGAACCCAGGAATAATGCACCCCTGGCTGAAGAGCCGGGAATCAGGGTTTTTGATAGCCACAAGGTAGACTTAAACCCAGTGGTTGATCCCCCCCCAACAGGAGGTTGGTTTCCTTTTGGTTTCCCGTTAAGCCAAGGGGTGGTGAGCCCATTTGGTCAAACTGGCGAAGCGCATAAGTTTTTGAATTTCCCTTGTTGGTTTTGAAGGGGAGCTATCACTACTGGACAGATTTTCAGTTTTTGTCCTTTGTTTTCCCCCAGGGCAGGCATACGTAAATGGAAGCTTCTCACTCCGATGTCGAGGTCAACATTGGCTTCGTAGTTCTCAGCACTCACCTGCGCCTGCGGGAGCCTTCGAGGTGTGTCGGCTTGGCCATCGGGAGGCGCTGGCTACAACTCGGCGGCTTGGCCTGCCGCATCCCGGGAGGGGGCGTCCACGGGGGGTGAGCAAAGACCCAAAAATCTTCCAGCTGTGGAAAAAGAAGCACCCAGGAAGTCCGCCGAAAGAGCACCAAGGGTACGGCAGGGTCTTTCCACCTTACTTGGATGTTCGGCCAAGTGCGTAAGTGGTTGGCCACCTGGATTAGAGTCCACCCACAGTAGTGCAGTTAATTCCACTTCGGACGTAAAGGTGGTTCCCAACAACTTACTCACTTGTCCGAATACCAATCTTAACCCTTTTGGATGGTTTGGCAAACCAGACTTCCCTGTGTTCTTTTTTTAGTTGGACCCCCCTAAAATGGCTTCACGGTTTTCCTTTTGTTTGCCCTTCAAAACCACTCCCAAGAGTGGGTACCCTTCACCTCAACAAACAGACACCCATTCGCAACTGCGTCCCCCGGAAAGAACATGAGCATCTACTTCCAGTGGTAGGTTCTCCCACGTTTCCGCAAATTCCACCCATCCGCGCGGCCAATGGCCGGCGATTTTGGGGGCGAGCGGTAGGCCTCGATCCGAGTTTGATAGGCCCGGCGCTGGGCTTTTGGACCTTGATCTACCTCTACGTCTTCGTGGACTGCAACTTGGCGCGTTCTGCGGGTGGCTCGTTTTCGCCTTTTTGTTCGAGGCTCTCTGTACTTGGTTTTTGGCTGGCTATGAAGGGAAACCCAAAGGACCAGCACCTACTTTGGGGGGGCGGTCCGATTCCTAAAGAAAGACACGTCCAAATGAGGGTCCTTTTTCTCAGGGATTCGGTTTTTGCCCTTCGCAAGAAAAGCGGGCCGGCCGGGAAGGCGAACCCGGCATGGCGGCTTGCACCACAAGGCAAGTAGGAGTGCAGTGTCCGAAAGGAACGCATTTGAACCCATTTCGGGTGGCGTGAAAAGGGCAGCTCTCGAAGGGTTCCCGTTCACGGCGATCAGAGGAAACCATTACTTTCCTCAAGGAATTTGCCTGACTCCACTTGAGCAACCAGAAATCCAGGGGCTGCTCTTAGGGTACTGAGCTTCAAAAACGGCAACCACACCAGTCTTGCCAGGGATGTTTTCGTACAAAAGTGGTGGTTTTCTGTGATGGATCCCCCTCAAATCTGTAGCCCTAGGAAGCCAACCCGGGAAGCAATGAAGCAAATGGGCTCGTCTTTTTTTTTTGTGTGGCAAAGGCTAGGCATATCGCCTGCACAAATTGGTCTTGCATCATGGTCAGCGAGAAACTGGTCCACAACATCACACACAAGCACAGTCGGATATTTGGGAAGTAAGCGGCAAATGCAAAAGGCACTTACACTTGTACCCCAATCGAAAGTTGTTTTAAAGGAAAGCCAAAACGAAACTGAGCATTTTTGGAAGGTGTCCAATTTTAAGCCACTCCTGTAGTGGCTCGAAGATCGTAATGTTTGCTGAATCCTGTGCCGTTGCACCGGATTTACTTGAATTGAATTCTCTTCACCGGAGCACCCTCAAGTTGCGAGATCGGCTGCTTTTTTTTGGGCCTGTGGGTTGGCTTTGAAGACCAAAAGGAACCTAACCATTTGGTCCCCTAATTTTGAGACATCCACATTTTTCATCTTGCACTCTGTCCGCAGCAAACGAGCATCGGAGCTGAAGAAGGAAAATATCTGTTTCAACAACCACATCCTGGACATCTTTTGAAGGGGAACCGAAGGCAGGTTGCTTAAGCAGTGGGGTATGTGTCAAAATAGGGGGATCCATTTGTAGTTTCCCTTTAAACCATCCTGTAACAAGGGTATTTAGCTACGTTTGCTTTGGGACTCTGACCCAAAAGCTCCATCTTGCTACCCCATTCAACAGGGCTACCCTTGAGATAGACCTTGTCGAAAACGTTTTCGTTAGGATGTTCGCATGTTGAGGTACCCTCCTACAGATTGGCATTGAACCGAATAACCCATCATTCTTGGAGGAACCTCCAGAATTGTGATCGATTGGAATTGAACGCGGCATTTGGTTGGGCACTCGTCTGAGATTGGGATGAGGCACTCAAGAATCAATGATTGCCAAACCCTGGGTTTCCAGGCTGTTGTTTGCAGGGTACTTAGCGACGTGCAAACTGACTGTGAATGGTACCTACCCATGGCGAACTGGTGGGTTACTTGCCCACGGTTAACCACTTGCCGGGCGTAGCGATCTCCCCATTCTCGCGTCTCACTGTTGTTGGATCATGCTTTTAGTTGTCTTTGGGTTCTGTATCATGAGTAGTAGGGGGCTGAGAAAAGTCAAGTGTTTTGATATTATACCAAGGGTTGGGACCTCTGGTGCGCGTCCCTTCTCTGCAGGCATCCCCATGAACAATGCCGTGAAAAGTAGCGGCCTCCATCGCTGGTACTCCGAGCGGCGTTTCTTGGGCTTTCAACCGGGGGGAAGTTTCGATGTCCTTAGCTGCCATTTGGTTAAGAGGTTTTTTTAGTTCGTTTTCGGCGGCTGAACACCCGTTTTTGTTGCTCACATTGCCAAGGATGAGAAAGGGATGCTACTTGGATGTTGAGGTCACGTAAGTAGGGCGCCTCTTGAACGACGCCAGAGGGCAGTATGTGTGGGCGGTCATGTGCTTGGCAAAATGTGCTTGGACTTAGGAAGTACTCCGCTTAAAACCATGGTTGTAAACCACGTAGGTTGAACATCCAAATAATGGCTGTTCCAGAGGTTTTCTCTCCTTTTGGGTGATTTGAACATCAACTGCTGGATCATCTTCAAAAGAGCTTGTTTTGGTGTTGATTTGGATTAGACGCTGCCTCGCAACGAAGAGGCTAAATTTGAAGAACCCGGAGATTGGCGAACTTGTGGTTGGTTTGTTTTTGATTAGCCTTATAAGGGTTTCGAGGGAGTGTGTGTGTGTGTGTGTGTGTGTGTGTGTGGGCGTGTTTTTGAGAGGGTCCCGTTTGGGTGCAGCTTTTGCTTGCCTTGGATGCTGGTTTCCCTCTGTTTTTATGAGGGGCCAGATTTCTACGCTGCCAGGGTCAAATGGGAGCAACCCTGTTTACACTCCCGAGTTCTTCAAGAATCTTTGGTGCATTTTGCTTGGATGTTAGGACTTCAACTTTTGCCAACTAATGGGTTTCCATTAAACCACTAAAAGTTAAACTTTTAGCAGGGGAGCAGAAAGCAACCGAGTAATCCTCGCTGAGCTGTCCTTTGAGAGATCCACATGGGCAGACCTCGCAACCTCGCACAGGGTTTGCGACCCGATCTGCGACCATGACAAAGCAGCTTTGGGAATCCCTCGGGCGTAAATTCTGCAGGGTAACCAAGACTGGGCTCAATCCTTTTTGACAGTTTGAAGCGGTCCAAGGCTGAGGCCTGGTCCTTTGCATGTCAGAAAGACTAAAATCGTCAATTTTAGGAGTTCTATGACGAAAGCGCGGTTTCTTTGAAGTTTGAGGGATCCATTTTTTTCTTTCCCCCGGCTTGGAACAATGTGCCCCTTTTTCTCACTCGCCTTGAGGAATCCCTCAATTTGGGTTAGGTATACTCCAGCTCGACATGGACCCCCCCCCCCAAAACGGCAGACCCAAACCCAAGCCCCACCCAACATCGGCAAGCATCGGCACGTCCGCCCCCAAACGCAACCCTCGAAGCGCGCGCTTCTCCGGGCACGGTCGCAGGCTCGGAGTGCCAAGTGCCAGAGCATCTCGTCTGGTCACTGCTGTTGCTCCATGAGCCGATCACCGGGAGGAACTCGCCTTGCCACAACTCAGCGCCTCGGCGGAAGCCGTAAGCCGTCGGCTTTCGCTTGCGCGAAAGCCAAAAACCTTGGGCGGCCTGGGGTCGAATTTGGAAGGACCCGGAAAGAAGCGCAGGGTGACTTCGCTAGGGAGATTATAAGGGGCTAGATTTTAATATTTTTTAGATTAACCCTCGACCTTGGGTGTAAAGTATCCCAGAAACCTATTCTAGCCGTAGTTCTTTCGTACCGCCCTGTTTAAAGGAAGGTCCTTGGCCAGAAGCATGAGCAAATTCCACGCCGAGCGTGGATTTCGTCGCGAAGTGCCACATCGGTTGCCTGGAGTCCAATTTGGCTGTGGCTCACAAAAGTGGCACCAAAATGACGCCTTGGTAAACGGAAGGAAAGACTAAAACCTGCGCAACCGTAGCTCTTGAATTTGAGCCATACCCATTTCTTGGACCTCCCTTGGCGTTTTGAACCTGCCAGATCCAAAGGAAAGTCCGACCGCCGAAAACACGGCAACTTTGGATTCCAAGGCTGCCGGGAAAAATGATTTCGGAGCCCTCCAAACTCCAAACCATTGCATCTTGACTCGCCAAAACCCAGTGGGGTACTCGTCAAGCATGGGCGCCCTTCTTGGGCCAGTGTTTCTGTGGGCCCGCCTTTTTCCCCAGTCCAAAAGGGGTCCGACTACTTTTCTGACAACCCATGTGGATTTGCAAGGCATCTGGTGGGTTCCAGGCATGTGACGTGTCCGGAGGACATCTTCGAGACCCAGTTCTGGCTGGATGCGGTGGTGGTGCTGCTCCGGGCGGGGCTCGCGCGGAGGGTACAGAAACCGGGGGAGGCGGAGCCGGGGGTAATGTTGACTTTGGAGGACGTCCAAAACAACACGGATTTGTGGAATCAACCCCTTTCTTGGTGTCAAAACGTTTGGGCTCGCCATGTTCAGCTTTTTTCGAAAGATAAAATATGAAGCAACAAGGGTAGAACATTGGTGAACCGTTTTCCCTTTGGTCTTCCTTTGCCAGGAACCGAAGTTCGACCGGCATGTGCCGATCAGGTCGAGGGCCTGATACTTCAAGGTCAAATCGTTCCCCCAAGCGCAGATTCCAATCAAAAGGAGTCCCCCCAAAACGGACCACGCGCCCAACGAGTCCGACACCAACCCACTTACCCGTTGTAAGTCCTCTGTTCGTGGGTTCTAATCAGAGAGGCCTGGCCGTGAAAGCCACCTAGCTGTTTTAAACAGGTGTCCACATACCAGGTACCAAATCTGCACAGGTTTCTCCACAGGTTTCTGCCCCTCCCCAAAAAAGCCCCCGGGTGATTTCGGGGCCTCGACCCGTGAGCAGTCCAGGCGGGGCCGAGCTCCTGGCTGGCGATGCCACTGTGGCACGTGGCGCTGTACTGGCGGTTCCTCGCCATAGCGGAGGAGGGCCACGAGTGGGCGCGGGCCCCAGAGATCCAGTTGCTGAAATGAATATTATTCATTAATTACTTCTAAATATTATTATTCTTATCATTATTATTATTCTTATCATGATTATTATTATTCTTATTATTAGTATTATTATGAGTATTCTTTTCAATATTATTATCATTATTCTTATGATTATTCTTATTATTATCAGTATTATTTATTATTTTTCTTATTATTATTATTATGATTATTATTATTATTTTTTATTATTATTATTATTATTATTATTATTATTATTATTATTATTATTATTATTATTGTTTTTATTATTATTTATTTATTTATTTATTTATTTATTTATTTATTTATTATTATGTATGTTTATCATTATTATTATTACCCTTATTATTATTCTTATCACTATTATTATTCATTATTATTTTTCTTATCATTATTATTATTCTTATTATTATTCTTATTATTATTATTCTTATTATTATTCGTATCATTATTATTATTACTATTATCATAATTATTATTATTCTTATCATTATTATTATTATTATTAAATTTATTTCATTATTATTATTATCACTATTATCATTTTGCCCATTTGCCCCAGGCTTCTGCTTAGCTTCAAAGGGAATCGATTTCACGGCACCATATGTTCTCATTTTTTTGCCAGGGGAAGCAGACTATTGCCCTGGCCAAAACCTAAGGGTAGAAAATGGGTGTGCGCCTCATTTTTTTGGGGGAACCCAATGGTTTCCCTTTGCTTTCCCTTTAAGACAACCACAAAACAGCTGCAAAAAGAGAACCGAAAGGGGCTCACCAATTTTGGTTTTTGTCAGGGAACAAATCTCTATGTGCCAAGATCTTGGGACCCGAATCCATCACCCAAATCCTTTGAAGCGGGTGACCAGCCATTGCATGCCTCAGGCTTTTGCGTATTCCCATGGCTTCCGGATGCTGCTGCCACCGGCTTTCCTGACCATGGCCCTGTGGCCGGTTGTCTTCACCAGGATGCGAGGCCGGGGGGAAGAGGAGGGGCGCGCAACGCCGGGTCATTCAGCGGCTCTCGTTGTCTTTTCAGCGTCCCCCTCGTGGGTGGCTTGGATTGCTGGATTGGAGGTTAGGAGGAACCTGTTTTGGTTTCAAGAGGAACCAGGGTTCAAATCCCAAACCACATCCAAGTCACATGTTCAGGGCAAGGTGTCGTCCATTGGGGAGCCTTAGCTGTTCAACTCTTTTGATAAACTTGCGGATTGCCCGTTGTCTTTGCGCTGGGGATCCTACTCTTCTAGAAGGTGTACCTTTGCCATTCTTTCCAGGGATCCTTCCTTCTAGAAAACGTCCGGAAACCCAGGGAAAACGGCCTGCTTTTGGAAAGAACGATGGTTGAAAAGAATGGGGAATCGACCCCTAGAACTTCGTTTGTCATTGAGTTGTGGGCAGGAACCTGAATGGGTATGAACCCAAGGCGGATGACCAGAACTCGCTTAGGGGGGAGTTACTCTCAAGGGAAACCAAAGGGATGCCAAAGATGTTTGGCGTTCTATGTTGACTCACACCCCATAGCACCTCCGTTTCTCGTATCCCAAAAAAGCCGGGTGACCTCCACTCAGCCGAGGTGCATTTTTTACCCACAAAAAGATACCCATTGGTTCGCTGGCCCCCAAAACGAATACCCTAAGAAGACAAACCCTTAGGCCAAAGTTCGCTAGGGGCCCCCACCGGAATCCAAGCACCAGCAAAGCCCTTTTCAGGAGCCCCAACCCTTTGAAGCACCAACACCCAAGATTCTCGTTTTCAATCCAGGCTCAACCAAGAGCTTCAGCCAACACCCAAGAGGTTCAACCAAAACCCAAACCCCTTGATTACGTTGCAAACTCATGGCGTCTGTTCGGAAAGCTCTGCGAATCTGGGCGAACTTCTCGGGTAAGGGGTCCAAGGAGAAACCCACGGGCTTCCGGGCTTCTGGGCAAGGCTTGTATGTGAGTCTGTCGGTTGTTGAGGCTACCCCTTTCTCGGTTTTGGTTTTTTCAAGGGAAACCAAAAGGAAGCCATCCATCTCCAGGGGCCCCAAATTTTAGACTTTTTCCAGACGCTTCCAGGCGTTTCGCCACTGTTCGGGTCCCCAAACGGAAGTGGTCAGCTTCCACTTGGCGATTCGGAGCCAGTGCTTCCAGGGCATTTCGCGAGTGAGTGTAAAACCTAAAGGTCAAATACCTGGTTACCTACTATAGCGGCTGGAAGCACTTGGGCCTTGCCGTTTGTGGTGGGGTCTAAGAAAGGGACCGCTCTGTCCGCATTCTAAAGTTTGCTTAACGGGAAACCAAAAAGAAAGCCGGAGCCATTTTGTGGGGGCCTATTCTTTGGGGTCTCCAAAACTATGTGTTATTTTTAGGGCAGGGCTAATGAATTAGCATGCCCCAAAAGTCCAAGCCCCGGACCATCTATCAACCTCTTTTTAGTGGCTCACACCCCAACCCACGCTATCCCACCCCATCCCACCCGCCACCATGGATGAGAAGGGGGCAAAACTCCTTTATTGACCTTTTAATAAGGCCTTATTAAGGGCTTATCCTTCTTGTCCTGGGCTTATCCAGCGATAGCCCCACCCACTCCCCCCCCATAGCCCCCCTTAGACGTCCATGACGCCAAGTGGTTGGCTTCCATTTCCTTTGCAGACCTCGGCGCGGTTCTCGGCGTGCTGGTGGATCTGCTGGGTTTCGTGCTGGTGGCCCTCTCCTGCGTCCAGGAACTCCGCGGCGAAAAACTTTGAGACGTCGCTCGCCCCCAGAAATCGATTTCTTTTTTCCCTGGTCAGGTGGGTTGCGGTGGCTCGTTTGTTAAGGAATGGAACCCCTCCAAAAGGGCGCTTTCGGTTCTCCCGTTAAACGCGCCCCAAAGAAGGGCACACGGGGACCCAGAAAAAGCTAACTGGTGCTAGGCTGCCAGTGAAACCTGTCAGGTAACCACGAAAATTGGTTTGAATTTCTGTCCCCTTGGAGTTCTCTCGTTGACCCCTGTCCGAACTTGCGGCCCCAAATCAAGGCGAAGTCCTTCTTTTCTCGGGGAGGGGCGGGGGGGGGGTTGGAGCAGGGGTTGGAGGGAGGTGCTGGGATTAAGCACCTTGCTCCTTCCAGTAAACGTCAAATGAGCGTGTCTATTTTCGATGGTACCCATTTTGGCGTGATTTGAAGGGAAACCAAGAGCAAAGCCACCATTTGTTGCTTTTTTCGGGGGTGGGGGGGGTGAGCGGGGACTGAACAGAGACACCCTCAAATCTTCCAATTTTAGCTGGAACATTTTCATTGTAGGTGGCCACCTGTTATGATACCATTCGGAGAATCAGGCGTGGTGACGGCCAAGTACCTTCGTCATCGCAGAAAGCGGAGTACTCCCCCGCATGTGGTGCCCAAGGGGAGATTGATCTCTCTCTCTCTCTCTCTCTCTCTCTCTCTCTCTCTCTTTCTCTCTCTCTCTCTCTCTCTCCCTCTATACATGGCTGTGTTTTTTGGGGTTCCATGTCAATATGCGGAGTATTTGCAGAGGCCCAGTCACCAGGATAAATCGTGGGACAACTCGTGAAAGAAACCTAACCTTGGGGGGGGGTCGGGAATTGTATGATAGTTGGACAGCGCTTGCAGCGGTTTGCGTGGATTTTGGGTGGACTCCTCACGTTTTGGCTGGGTCGCCGGCTCTTGTTGAATGCATTCGAATGGGGACTTTAGATCAAGAACAGGTCGCGGCGTTTGTGCCCCTTCAACGCGGACCTCAAGCGGCGTTTACCGCGCCCGAAGCCTGGCGCGAACCGCTCTAAGCATGCCCCCAGAGAGGCGCAGGTTGGCCTTCGGAAGGCTAGCTCTCTCCTGCGCGCTCAAAAAAAACAAAAAACGCTCGTTCGCCACAGGTGTCCCGGGGCTGAAGAAGTGGGACTGGCAACCCATGCTGGCAACCCAAATGGGTTTAATATCGTTGAAATATTACCACAACACTGACTAAAGCTAAAGTGAACGGATGCCTGAAACTAGGGAACTTGCGGCTAGGAAGAACCCAGCATGAAACCGCGGAGTGTCTCAACCCACATGACCTAGCACATAAAGCACCCAGCCCTTAAGCAGAGCATGGAAGGGGTAGGTACCCTTAGTTCGCATGCGGGCACTTCAACACACATCTTTTCTGTGTGTTGGTGCAAAGGACAAAGATGTGTGGAAGGGCTGCGTGACCCGGGGTGGGTGTTTCTCTTCGATGGCAACCCGGAGCCCAAAGGCAAGACCGTCCCATTTGACCGGCTCACTTGGAACCTCGGCTCACCCGTCCCAAAACTATCTTTCCATTATTCCATGTTATCTTTCGCATATGGACACACAACTGGTCATTTTCTTGCTGAGTGGGGAATGCGGGAATGAACCGTTCGGGGGTGCCCCTCAAGGAAACCACCAGTCGGATGGCGACTTCTCGGGGTCATTCCATTTCTCATTCCCTGCCTACAGCACCAGCAAGTTTTAAGGGCTGGTTTTCTTGGTCACCTAGATGGGGAAATAGGTGCGGTTCCTTCATGTTAGGTTGGACACTCTCACCAAACAAGAAAAGAGAGAAAGGACTTCGCTGTCCCTGTTGGATTCCCTTTGAAGCTCACAACAAAGGGGTGCCCTCAAAGACAGGCTCTTAACCATCATCTACGCATCTACCCGTTTTTTTGGCAGAAATAATGGGTGTCTTGGGTTCCAAGCTTTGACGCGCAGGACCTGCTGGCCTTCGGGCCCACCGGCTCCGTGCCGCTCCGCCCCTGGCGCCAAGCGGCGGCCTTTCAGGCGCGAATCCGGATTCGCTGGACCGAAGAATCGGGCGCCGGGGTGGGGAATCCATGGGTTTGCCACCTGTTGGCGTGTTGCCGTGTGGTCAGGCTTTTGGGTCCTTCGTGGTGCTTGCTCATTTTGGGGATGCAAAGAAGAGAAAGTGTTTTGTAAGCGGATACCAAGGGTTGGACAGTTCCACTAGACCTACAAAAGACTCGATCTTGTTCCCCACCGTGTGTGTACTCTCAGCCCGTGTTTTTTTGCACACAGAGACGCTACACAATCGCAACCCAGGTAGATAACGGGTAGTAAGGAACCGTCCCAGCTAGAAATAAGTGCGGATATCCGCCCTTTTGATTCTGATTGTGTTTTGCTGTTCCAAACATGACCTTTTGCACGTTGGGATGTCCTCCTTTTTTCCCTTTCATCAGCACGAAGTGGTTAAATGTTTGGCAGCTCGACTCGTTTGGCCTGGCAAACGGGAGCTCCACCGAATTTTTCTTTGGGGGGGAACCCGCTTCCTTGGTTCTTGGACAATTTCAAGCTCATCCCCGATGCCCCGAACCCCAAATGAACCAAAGACGAATCAGGAAATTATGAACCAAACCTCAAGTGAGGTGTGGACCCAAAAACAGGTTAAGGGCTACGTTATTTCCCAGATGGTTTCCGCGCAAAAAAATCCATTTGGACCCAAAAGGAGTTTCCTTTTGGGGCGATGTTTTTCTGGGGGAAATCTACTGGCCCTAAATTTCAACCACGAAAACCAGACGAGCTCATGCCCTAAATGTTCCATGGACTCAGTCCTTGAGTTGGACGTGATGTCTTTTTGGGTCACCATTTTTAAGCCTTTTTGCGCCCCTTTGGGTGGCTCATTTTTTCAGGTACCCTTCTCCTCAACCAGCGAAACCCACAGTTGGCGAAGGGAAAGATCCCCTCAACAAAAGTGATGCGGACGGCTAGACTCACTCAACTTGTGTTCCGTGAATTCTGAAAGGACTAAATATCACTTTTGGGATCCAGACACCATATCAGTAGTACATAAACACAGGTTTCATTTTTTTCTTTGTTTTTATTTTTCCGATTGCCAATTCCAGAGTTGCAAATGATAAATTTAGAAGTTGGTTCGGTTCGGTGCTACTCAAGCACATTGGAGGAACTTCATCTTCTGTTGGTTCTGCTCAAGGGACTGCTGGTTCCAATCCGCATGTGAAGCGAGTTCGTGGCTCGGATGGCTCCGCGAGGTCTCCGAGCTGCTCTTCGTGCCGCGCTCGGTGGCAAGCCGCCGCCGCTTTCGGTTTTAAGCAAAGGGGGACCCTCAGAAGACAGACGAATCTGTATCAGCGTGAGGCGGATCCAGCTGTGATGTTTACCTATGATGTTGTTTTGTTTGGACAGCAACCCTATTGGTCTTTCCTTTAATTACTTCGGAACTCTGCCCCACATAGTCAGTTGTTCCAAGAAGGGGATGCCGTGTTTGGGCCCTGTTGGCCAGGGTCCATCGGCAACGCCTTTGTTTTGGCACAAGACTCAATTGGTGGATGCGTGTTTTGTGTTGAACATCGTGTACTCCGAACCCCTGACAAACTTGATCAAGCCGGGTTTCCTCCATTTCCCTTTTTAAGGATCCTCCAAAAGTGACAGTTTTCAGTCAACAAGGCAAATAGTAATAGAGGGCCCCCAAATTTCTAGATGTACCAACTTATCAGGTTCCATGTTTGTTTTGGATAACATGTCTTCTTGGAGTCCTCAAGAGTGGGCATGATGCTGTGCCAATCACAGCAATGCTCCAAGTGGCAAAGACAATGAGGACTGTTTCGCATGGCCAGTGTGGCATTTTAGGGAGATTGTCGTGCAAAAGCGGTAAGCGGTCGCAAGTGAAGCATGTATTCGCTCGCAAATTATGACAGTGTCGCTGCGATTCACCGGTAGATGCAGTCTGCAAGAGTACAAACCTGTACAGACTTGTTTTGCTTGCTGTGAGTGCTTTTGTACCATGCAATGTTCACAAAAAAATGCCCCGCACGCGAAATTGGCACGATGTCACGGATCCAAAAAGCCGTGCTACCTTGTTTCTGGGAGGGTACTTGAAGGGCCACGGTACTTGGCAAGTGGGTTACTATCCAGGATTACTTACTTTGCTGGACTCACCAGCATGGCTCTGGGTTGTTTGGCCATGGTACTTACCATCGTTTTAGAGGAAAGAGGAATTGATCTTCTTTTCTGGTTTCCGTGTTTGTGTCAGCAACCCAAATGGGCCCCTTTTTTGTTTGATCGACGCCTTTTTGGCGGGTTGCCATTTTTTCCCGTTTTGTTTGGTCTCTTCACTTCTAGCAGTAGGGGGGGGGGGTATGCAAAACCAGTCAGCTTGTTGCTTGGGTTGGAAAGAGGGTACCAGGTCCCGCGCCGTTTTCAGGTCTTGGGCTTGCTGCTGCTCCTACGCCGCGATGGCTCCACCTGGCCCTGGACATCCCGCCTGTGCGGAACCACAGGGGACAAGGAAAGAGATCCGCCCCAGGGCGTTCGGCGGTACCCATGGTTTGTCTTGCCTGTGAAAGGAGTTCAAACTCAAGGGGTGGTTTATGTGTGTGTGTGTAGCGGTATATGTGCATGTACATGGACATGTATATGTATACCCGAAGGGCTTCTTCCTCTCTCTCTCTCGCTATCTCTCTCTCTCTCTCTCTGTCTCTCTCTCTCTCTCTCTCTGTCTCTCTTTCTCTCTCTGTCTCCCCATTCAGCCCCGAACCCAGGCAAATTTGACCCCATCACTGTCGCTGTTGGGGGAACAAGTCATACTACTTCTTCCGGGGTCAACCTTCTCTTTCTCCAAGGACTTGTGAGACCGGCCCCCTCCAAGAGACAACCCCCCAAGAATGACGTAATTTGACCAGAAACTATGGCCAAAGAAATGACCATGGCCTAACACACACACGCACACACACACACACAGACTCAGATGATTCGAGCGAACCATGGCCACACAAATGACCATGGCCAAATGCAAAACACACGCTTTGTGGCTGCGGCCTCTGAGTGAACCACCCTCTGACGTGGGATTCCCATTTCCCAGCTGACGCTGAGGTCTCAACTGAGTTTGGGCATCAACCTCTCCAACCTCTTCGTCTTCCACTTCCTGGGCGGATTCCTTTTGGAAGAGCCGCCGGGCCTCTTAGCACGCGCGGAGCGAGCGAAGGCGGGTCAGGCAGGGATGGTGTTTGAACCCTTTCTCGGATCACACGTGTTTTCCTTCTGTACATTTGAAGAAATTTGAGGTTCACATAGTAGGGACCAGAATCAAACACATTTGTTTTGTTCGGGGAGCATCTGCTGAGGTCATATAGAAGGTAAAGGGCATCCGGCTCCGATGTTAATGTTTCGGGCGAATCCTTTCATCGCGAACCAGCTCTCAGGACAGCCCCCCTTTCTTGGATGGGTTTTGAAGAGTGGAAGGACACCACAAGACCAGGAGAGGTCTCCCTGTCACGAAACAAACGCCGAGCTCCGAGTGGCTTTTTTAGGCCACCTCCTTTGCTGGCATCCTGCCTAAAGTCCATATATAAAAATCATATGATATATGCATATATCATATTGTGTGTGCATTGATTGGGGTTTCAAGGGTGTGTTAAATTGCATGGTTGTAGCGCGTGTCACGTGATCGTCACGTGACATGCGCTGGTACCCACAGAAACAACTGCACACAGCTGATGATGTGCAAGTGCAACTTGCGTGCCCAAAACGGCCTTTCGGAGCTTCGCAGCTTCTTTTTATTGCCTTTAATCGGGCCCCTGGAAGTCCGTGAAGGTTTCTCAACTTTTTGTTCCCCAGCTGAAAGCTATGAGGTCTCTGCCCAGAAATCGGCTTTGGGGTGGTTGCCTTTGGGGCTGTTGGGTCCAGATACCGCTGTGAAAAGGATCGGCAAAAGGACATCCCCCGCGTTCTTGCCACCCGGAAACGAGTTATGCCTTAAGCGAATTACTTCGCTCAAATCGCGAGGTTTGATGGCCCCGGTCACGGCGATCTCAGGATTTGTGCGGCGTTTTGAGGCTCATCAACTATGGACCCGAATCAAACCGATTAGTTTTGTCGGGGCCAGAAGCTGAGGAAGAACCCCCTCCAACCACGGTTGTGCTTTCACGTCAGTTTGGTTGAACATAGATCTCCACGGGTTTTCAGTCTGGTTTTCAATTGGGCACCAGTCTATGTGCCCAAAAGGATGCCTGCCGTCATCATCATCAACCACAACAACAGTACCCGTTTGCATGTCAGCATGGCTGGTCTTTGGTGTGACCAAACCGCCGTTTAGATCTTTTGGAGACACCTGGCGTTTCCATTAGTCATCCAAAAGTGGCGATCGTTTGAATGGACCCCACCAGCAACCTGGTGAACTGTCGACTTGGGGAAATCCCATGACCCCTACAAAACCGTCAACAAGAACTGGATGGGGTTTGTCTTTTGCGGTTTTCCTCGTGGTGGTCCTTTAAAACCAACCAATAAGGGGTTTCCCTGTAAATGGATCCGCTGAATCGGCTTCTTGGTTTCATCACACAAAGGCAACAGAGGCTTGTGGTTTTCCTTCTGGGTTAAACTTCAAATCAGACCCGTCTCCAAGCTGAGGCTGCCGCTGACCGGTTCCAACGCGTTGCTCTGCTTTGGCGGAGTGTACGTGACCGCGGCTTTGTGGCTTTGGCTTCACAAGGGGGCCTTGCTCCCGTAAAACTTTGTGTTTTTTTTTCTACGCGGGCTTTGACTTGGTGGTTTTTTTCGGCCATCCGGTTCCCGAGGAGTTGTCCAAGTCTTGGGGTTTCAGGAGTAGTTTCCACCAAGCCTCCAAAACTTGCCAGAACAGCCCAGTTGCAAGGGACGGACATTTAGTTTAATTGAACCGAAAAGAAGCCATCCATTGTTCCTCAGCTGAAAGCTCAGCTGAAAGTTCCAAGCTTTCAGCATGGGTTCCGTACCTCTGACTGAGGCTCCGTGCCCCAACTTTTGAAGGGAAACCCGTAGGCAGAACCCCCCCCCATTTTCTGACCCCTATGAAGAACAAGTACCCGAATGGCGAAGCATGCGAGGGGTAAATGGCAGATTGTGCTTTGCAGCAAGGGCATTCCTAGATTCATGTCCAAACTCCCGTTATTTCCCTGAGAAGCAGCAAGTCGTTGCCCTGAAATCCTTCCCAATAAATCCCAGTCGCCTGTACAGTAGGAAACCCTTCTCCATTGCTTTGTAGTTTTAGGGCGGTTCCCTTGGATACAAATTAGTAAGTTGTTAGCCACCTGGGGTGTAACCCCCAAATAACAAGGTCAACCCCACTAAGAGGGACTTATAAGTGGGTTACAGCCTAAAGTTACCAACAACTTACCATCTTGGCGAAACGAGCACCCAAGTACAATGGGCCCCGACTTGCCAGCAAAGTCACCACCCAAGACATAGCCGTAACGGAAGCCACGAGTTACTAACTTCCCGAAAAAGACTGTAACTAGGTTCCCCAGCTAGGTGCCCTTTTTAAACCCCTTTTTTGGTTGGGAGATTCGGTTCCCCTACTAAAATAGACTACCAAAAAAAGTTGGCACCCTGATTCTAACCTCTCTACTGGAGGACCTTAAGCATCATAACCCCATGCGGGTCTTTAGTCTGGTTTCACTGCAATCATGTTATCAGAAATTTAGCATGGCTGGTCTTGGGTGTGACCCAATCGCCCCTTTCGAGAATTGGAAACAAATAGGTGTTTTCCATGAATCGGGGTTTCCGACCCATTTCCCTTTGTGGAACCTCCAAAAGTGTCGATCGTTTGAATGGAGACCACCAGTAACTTGGTCAACTGTTGAGTTGAGGACATGACCCCTGGGAAAGCCTCAGCAAAAGCTGGATGGGGCGTGTCTTCCTTGTGGTTTTCCTTGTGGTTGTCCTTCAAAACCAACCAATAAGGGGCTTCCCTGGTGAATGGATCCGCTGAATCGGCTTGGTTTCATCCCAAAACACAAAAACACCGAGGCTGGCGCTCGCGGTGATGCCCGTGGTGCACCTGCCGCTGGTCATGCTGCGAGGAGAAAAAGAGTGGTCGGAGCGAAGCAGCGGGTTGGGTCCCAAGTGGCGGAGAGCATCATGGGGGCTGGGGGGGAGGGAGGAGAGGGGGGATGAGCCCCAAATAAACACCCTTATTAAGCCCATAACTTTTTCCCGTTTTCCTGCTGGGTCATTCAAGTGAGGAGTGTCCAACGATGTGGGGGTCTTATCTCTTCGGGGGACGTCCCAAATGGGCGCAACGGTTTTCCTCTTGCTTTTGCTTGAACACCAAGCAGAAGGCGTAGCAACTCAAAATACACACCCATGATGTAATATGTTGTATATATATATATATATATATTATATCAATACCGTGTGTTGTTTTTTCGGTGGGGGGGGGGGAAGCACTCCGATCCTTCAGGAATCCCTTAAGTGGAGGTTTTGCATTGGTTTGGATTTGAAACTTCTGCTTTTTGTGGGTAAATTGGACACCCCGGAACACCACCAAAGCATTGGGCTCCAAACCAACTCGGGGGAACACTGAATCCTCAAGCGTGGAGGGCCTGAAAAAAGACGGTGTTCGGACCACCTTCTGTCAGCTGGCGCCCACCGAGGCAACGTCAGCGGCTTGCCTCCAGAGATGCGCTTGCGCGCAAGGAAAAGCGGATGCCGGACGCAGATTGCTTTAAAGGGGCCACTTGGGACGTGGGTCGCCCATAACCCTCGGGCACAGGACGTCAACCATGGCTTTGGGTTACAACCATGGTCTACACACGTACTCTGGCCCCTTTGTGCACATCGGCAGAACAGCCCTTCAATGGACTCCTCGTCTTCGAAGGGTTTGGTGACTCCATGGATTCCATCGGTGTCACTTTCAGCTTTTCTTTATGTTTTTGTTCCGAAAGGACGCCGGGGACCGGATTTGTTTGGAGCATCATGGCTTCCGCGAAGGCGGCCTTGTTGTTTTGGCAGAAACCTGATCGGATGGCTTGGATCGGGGGTCGACATTGCTCAGGGCTCCAGGATACTTGCTTGGGTGTTCGATTCGCCAAGTTAGTAAGTTGTTGGTAACCGTTCATTTATAACCAGCTTTCGAGTCCCATTTTCCTAAGTTCCTCAAGGGGTCACTGGATTTCCCCAAATCAAATGTTGATATCAATTTACTGGTGTCCATTGGAACTGCCACTTTCGGAGTACCCATTTCCTCAAACAAAAAGCCGTGTCGCTCGCTCGCTCGTGTTTTTGTTTTTGTTCTCGCTTGCTTTCGGGCAGGTGGAGCAGCTTCACAGTTCCTCCTGGCGAGTGGTGTTCAGGCGAGGGAGTGCCGCCACCGAAGCAGGGCTCTTCTGGGTTCATTGGCTTTCATCTGCTTAACATGGTTGTTGTTGGGAAGCATTTTACATGTTTGCTTATTGTGGTTTAGTGGTTGAAATCCAACCACTTAACTGCTAACATTCATATTTTTGCTCCCCTTCCAACGTCAACCAAGTTATTCTGGGTTTAAAGGGGATCTAACACCTACTGGAAACAGTTGTTTTCCCCAGGGTGCGCATTTGCAAATGGAAGTTGGTGCGGCTCGTCTTTTGGGTTGGTGCCCCCTTGCTTGGTGGTTTGAAAAAGAAACCAAAAGGAACACCGTTGCGCCATTTTGGGGGGTGCAATTTCGGAAATCAAACAGTGGACAATTTGCAAGATGTTCTCAAACTTGATGGATTTTTCATTTCACCCACTTGCAGGTGTTTTAAGGGTGTTCCACGTTGATCTCCAGGGGAGCAAGGCGTCTCGTTTATCGTCGGCCGTCAGCTTCGCTTATTTGCAAGGGTGCTTTTCCTTCGGGTTCCCTTTGCCCTTGGCTTGTTCGTGAACCATGGCTTGAACATGACGATGTGACCAGGGGTGTGCAGGGTACCCTCTGTAGAAGGGTACTGCAATCGTTCAATACCCCGAACACTTCCAATCTTCCAGTATGGGCAAAGACGTCAGAAGACTTCACAAAGAAGGCGATCAGGAAGCGCGGAGCAAGTGAGTCACAATCAGTGTGAAGAAGGCGATCAGGAAGCGCGGAGCAAGTGAGTCACAATCAATCCCGGGCAAGTGAAGGTTAGTAAGTGACAGTCCCAACCGTCAATAGTTGCGGCCGCCTTCTTAATTCGTGAAGCATGGTGGGTCGACCATGTTCATACGGATGGGTTTGGATTGTCACTCAGTGGATGTTTGTTGCAAGCCCTCTTGAGCTTGGTTCTCAGGGCCCTCTTCGTGGGAGTGCTAATCGCTGGGCAACCTTCCCACCGCCTCAAGGAAGCAACTTGGTTCCACAAACTCGCGCTGACCAGCTGAT